GGGCACTAAAGTACAGGAAAAATCCAAATTCATATCCAAGAACGAATGTTAGCAGTTTGACACAGATACTATTAATAAAGAAAATGAATGATTTTTTTACTCATTTTTGACAGTTAAAAAAATGTAATTAATGTGAAAGCTGTACTACCAGCGTTTCCCAAAGTTTTACTTATACTCGAAAATATCAGCTGTCTCTATAGAACACTCATTCATAACCTACACATTGTGGATTATTTTCCTTCGTCATTTCTCTTTATAACCAGTGGTATGTTTTCGCTTGGTGTATGATCCTTTCCCATTATTTCACGATTTTGTATATTTTTGTTTAGTAATAAATAAAAATTCAATTGTTTTATATCACTTTCCACTGTTCCTCCCACATTTTTGTTCCAAATTTGTTTATCTATCTAACTCTGGGTTTTCCTCTCAGCTTTGTCTCTGTTGGCGTCCATCCTGTTACGATTTTTAAGGAGTCGTTTGTCTTTTTTCTGAAAATGCTGCCATATCACCTCATCCTTTGTACCTTCCAAAATATTACTACGTTTTCCTGTTTCAGTGTTTGCTCTATTTTATGATTCGCTAATATTTTCCACTCTCCGTCTGTTACTTTTGACTTTATTACATGGCTTTTATTACTCATCTCTCAAGGATTTATCTAGCAAAATTTTAAGATGTCATGTATTTAGTTTTTGCTTAAAAATTTATCATGTTTATGCCTTCAAACATGTGCAAAATTTCTAAGCATTCGGTTTTGCAGCTTCAAAGTTAATTTGAATAGGGTAAAAAATCACGGTGAATTTATAAACTACAAGTTACAAAGTAGAGTAGAGTCCAGGAAAGAGTGAACATGGACTTTCTGTTTCCAAGTGGTTATTGGAGGCCCTGTTACGTGAAAGAAGCAAAGGTTCTATGAATCAAACGTACATGAACATATGAGTTTTAGCATACAAAATGCGTTTTTTTTTTAAATATGTTTGCAACAATCAAAACACAGGAAAAACTAATTCAGTTTATTCTAAAATTTATTAAAACAAATTAAAAATCCAAAGCCTCGTCGTCATCTGTGTCGCTGCTATATAATTTAAATTCACAGTCATCTATGGAATCTCTACGTTAGTCAAGTGACCATTTTTAATTTTTATCAAATGCTCTATGCAGTTGTTTTATAACATTTTTTCAATTTTAGTCAGTTATTTTAGATAAATTTAATAACAAATCAAATTTTTCTCGTCAAATTTATGAATAGGAATATGAAGCATTCATTTGATGAAAAGAAATGAAAAGCATTGTAATAACTGTAGACGAAGATCCAATGTTGAGCTATTTATTTACATCTATTAGCTTTATTTAGGCACCTAAATGATTTTCAATAGTTGTCATAACAATTTTTCGGGATCGAGTCTATTTTAGCTATTTTACTACAAATCGGATCAGGGCGAAAAAGTTCTCTTTGGCAGAGAGGTATACACAGCCTTTTTTAGGCCACCATAAAGAAAAATATACTATGTAAGTGATTTTGAGGATATAAAATCTTTTGTTTTGCTTATTTATTTAATTAAGGCAAAACACTTTAATAGAAAGATGTACGAGGACTGTATGATAACTACCCGTGTTTGAGGACTGTGGGTACCACTGACTCAAAATCTGTAAACCATGATCTAGCGTCATCTTTCAAACGACACCTGTCAAAGTTTCAGTAAAATTTGTCAAGTAGTTTTGTCGTGGCACTTATTGAAAGTTGACAGATTTGTGTTTTTTGAAAAAATGGAAAAAGAGCAGTATAGATCTGTGATTCGATTTCTTTTTTTGGATGGGAAAACATGTGAAGAAATCAAAATCAAGTTGCAGGCAGTTTATAAGGACCAAGCACTTTCGATAACTACCATCAGATATTGGTTCAACGAATTCAAACGTGGCAGAACATCTGTTTTTGACGAAGAGCGCCCAGGTCGTCCGATTGAAGTAACTTCTGAGGAAATGGTCAACAAAATCCACGATATTGTCTTAGCAGATCGTCGGGTGAAGATCAGAGAGATTGCTGAGATTGCAAAGATCTCAACCGAACGTGTGCACAACATTCTTCACGAAAAACTGGGCATGAGAAAGCTATCGGCACGATGGGTGCCGCGTTTGCTCACAGTGGAGCAAAAACGGAGTCGCGTTACAACTTCGGAACATTGCTTGAATATGTTTAAGCACAATTCGAAGGAGTTTCTAAGGCGTTACGTGACTGTTGACGAAACGTGGATACACCACTACACTCCAGAGACTAAAGAACAGTCAACGCAATGGACTCTACCCGGCGAACGTGCTCCAAAGAAAGCGAAAACGGTTCCTTCTGCCGGGAAAGTTATGGCTACTGTTTTTTGGGATTCGCATGGCATCATTTTCATAGACTATTTGGAAAATGGCAAAACAATCACGGGACAGTACTATGCTGGCCTATTGAGCCGATTTGATGTTGAATTAAAGATAAAACGACCCCATTTGTCGAAAAAAAAAGTCCTGTTTCACCATGATAACGCACCGGCTCACACGTCTGCAATTGCCATAGCAAAACTGGTCGAATTACGCTATGAATTACTGCCGCATCCCCCCTACTCGCCAGATTTAGCACCCTGTGACTTTTATCTGTTTCCAAATCTAAAAAAATGGCTTGGAGGAAGGCGGTTTACTTCAAACGGCGAAGTAATTAATGAAACAGAGGCTTATTTTGCAGAGTTTGATAAATCATATTTTTTGAATGGGTTTAACAAGTTAGAATATCGCTGGACGAAGTGTATAGAGTTGAAAGGAGACTATGTTGAGAAATAAATATACAAAATTAAAAAAAAATGCTTTCTCTTTCTTAACACGGGTATTTATCAAACAGTCCTCGTAGATATCAAATTAAAATTTTAAAAATCATTTTTATGCGAAATTTTGTATTTTTTTTTTTGGAAATCCGACGTTATTTGTTGTAAATCGTCGTTATTCTAATTGTCAGTAGTTTAGTGAGGGTTTCCTATAAATACTTTCGGAAACAGAAAGTCATTGTTCCTTATTTCCGAGACTTTACTATACATGACGTCCGGAATGCCGCGAGCCCCCCTTAAGACATCGAGAGACGTCTTAATGTGATTTTAAAGTCTGCTATGTTTAACAAAAAAAAAACGCTTCAATTACACAATAATAATAAAGAGATGTTTAGTTCGTATTTCTGTTCCCCGTGGCAAGATTTAAATAATAATTTTCCCTTATAGTACAGTAGACCAAGTTATAAATGTCTTATTTGTATTTAAAAAAAAAATAGCATTTACTATGTAAAAATTTTGAGACGACGTCATCAAATTATTGGTGGGGATAATAGACAAATGTTAGTTAGCGTTTTATAGTCTTCACGACGTTCCTAAAATACATATAAAATTTCACAGCATCAGTCCACTACTTTCGGAGATTATCTGTCTAACAAAATCATCAACAAACTAGTGACGGGATCCGATTTTTCATGCTCCAACGGTCATAAAATGTAGAGAAAACATGAAAGTGGCAGTTGGCTGGATGGACCCGGGGAATCAAAAAGGACGAACCGCGATAACACGAATTCCACCAATCACGACCGTTACGGCCCCGTATTTGGCTTTTAGGCCCCAAAAGCACTAAAAACAATCGCCCGATTTTTAAAGGAACCCAAGACCCAAACCCGCCTTTGCCTATCTCAAGTCCCAGCCCCTTCCACCCCGCCTCATCCGTGCATCGCCGAAATCCACCCAATCCCGAAAACACCCATGCCAACCTCGAGCTCCACGCAGCCTCGGCCCACCCAGCAAATCCTGACCCAGGCCACGCATAAAATTAATTAGCCATGCCAAGTCGATCGAGGCGATACGCAACAATTAAACAAACAATCCCGTATCACCGACCCGAGAACCTGCGACCAGCGCGTGTAATGATAAGGTATCGCCAGCGTCTTTATCGCGATAGCCGACCAAGAAAATATGTTTATTAACAACCGACCGAACGAAACGCCGTGGTGCTTCGCCTCCACGTGCCACGCTCCACACAGGCCAGACTGTGCGGCATCCATGGGCGAGGGGGGCGCGGGGCGTCGAACACGCACCTGCTCGGCCGAACTCGGCAGCAGCCGCCGCCGCCGAACGCGCAAGAGGTAAACATTTTAGTTTGATTTTAGCCCAACATAAGTGTGGTACCGAATAAAAATTGTTGCAAAATAACTGCATCGAGCGGCCCGTGACAGGACCACGGCCGCCACCAGAAGCACCCCCTGAATTTAACTCGGGGACGAACAACCCCCAGCCACTGGATGGCTCTTTCGATCGGGGACACCTCCACCTCTGCGGAAAATTGTGAGTACATCTTTTTTTTTTTTTGTTTGCAAGGGGTGGCAGTATTAGAGGTTGTGGAAGCGAGTAGGCTGTGTTTGTCAAAATTATAATGACACTGAATTTGTGTTTATTTATGATTATTATTTTTGGTAGTAAAATGATAAACAGATGCGATCTTGTTTAAAGTTTCTTTTTTTTTTGTTATTATTTTGCTTTTCGGCGTTGCGTGGTTGCGGGTGGGGAAAGGGCGCCGGTCGTTTTTTGGCGATCCGGTAGGGCCGGCCCGGCGCGGTGACGTCGGCGTTGGTCGAGTTGACATTTGTCAAAAATCTGTTTAAAATGCCATTGAATAAATAAAATGCACGTAATGTGGACCGGCGCGGCGCGGGGCCGGGCGGGGGCGCTCTAACTCACGACCTACGTCTCTCTAGGTTGTCGAGGTCGGTGATCGTTGTAAAAAAGCGGCCCGACACTCCACGTGGCGGCGAATGACGGCGGCGCGAGCGCTCGTGCGGCCACCACGCAATCGCCCGCTTGCCTCCGTTCGGCGAGATCGAAACGCCGCGGTGGTCGCCTCGATGCATCGCTCCTCGTGCCGTTCGTTAGCAGTTGTTCCGGCGGACCAATGGCATCGTCGTAAATGGCACGGCGCTGCGGTGCCGTAAACAGTAGCGAATCGGCGAATTTGGGCCCTTTTCATGACCTACCCGATTTGCGTTTCGCAACGGAGGTGAAATCGCGGCGTTCCTGTTTCGCGAGAGTGCGTTGACTTCGGGCTCTTTTGGGGGGTCAAAAACCGACCTAAGCGCCCCATCCCCTCCTACGCAATGCACACGCACGGGGCGGAGCCAGTCCCATCATCAACGCACTCGCACTTGTCATACCCTTGCATTGTTGTACTGCACTTTCGGTGATGGTGGCAGTGCCTTCCGGGACGTCTTGATGTGTTGTTTGGTCCGTCCGGTGTTTGCTTTTTGTTTGGGTTTTGTTTCGGCCTGATGGGATGGCTGAGAAAGGGGGCGACAAGATCAACCAAGTCCAAGAGATTTTTATCAAGAATTTGTTGATGAGATGCAAGGCGGAGCAGAACGGTGCGTTTTCTAAACTTTATATCTTGAACTTTTTTTCAGGACTTCAAGAAATTCCGTTACAAATTTTATGCACGCAGTCGATTTTTTGTCGTGACGATAATGATGAGTCAAAGTTTTTGATGGATATTTAAATAGTGCAATTATATGTTATCATAATTTCAAAAAAAGCCTATCTAATCAAACAACATATAATTTTCCTCAAACTACTTTCACGAGTGGAATTTGGCGAATCCTAGTTTTGTTGATAACACATTCGACTGCAATTTTATATAGCAATACATTTATTTGTACCTATTGTAGCAAACGTTTCACCAAAAGTTGTTTTTAGTAAATTCAAAATTCAATCTAAAGCAGCCTATTTTTTGACACGGGTAGACCGCGCCTGCGCCAAAAGACCGAGACGTCTTCTTTACAAGCAGTAATTTTTATAAATAATTTAAATTATTTTTTTTAATAATTATATTTATGTCCAAGAAAATTGACAATATGTAGCGTATTTGTATTTGTATTTTTTTTTTGGGTGTATTTTTTACTAAATACTTCCTCTGTAATTCTTTCAGATGACGTCATTAACTTTGCCAGCGACAAACAGATTACTTTTGCCATGTACAATGTAACACTGATCTTAATGTTCTCATGTTTTTATAATTTTAGAGAAATTGGATTAACCGTTTTTGAGATAAATATAAAAATGTTTATACTTCTAGTTTTCATCACTTATTTGGAAAAGTTGTTTTTAACGATGTGCGATTTCACACTTTTATCATTAAAAAACCGTTTTACAATTCATCATAAAGAAGTATCGTAATTTATAAATTAATGTTGCATGTAGTTATTTTTGTCACTATAGTTTCATCCGAAATTATACTTGTGGTCGAACTGTAGTCCGTTCAACTAACTTCTCATTATTAGTATCTATGATCACCATGACCTAAAAATTTGAAAAAAAAATAGATATTATGCAAGTACAAATCCTTCAAAACAGAAATAAAACTCCAAGAAGTCGTCATGAATAATTTTCAAAATATTTAACTGGTCCACATACTTGTTAAAGACCTTGCATTTTTATTCCCCTAATTTTAATATCGGTCAATCGTGTTACATAACATTTGTAAGATAAAATGGAAAATTTTCACGGCCAGAGTCAATAACAGAAAGACGTTTTCCGGGTTTGAATCGTGTCAAATTTGAAAACGACGTTCAGAACTTTCAGTTCATCTTGTCCGTTTCGCGAACCCGGAAAACGTCATTCTGTTGACATGTAGGTGTTCATTAACAAAAATTTATTATATTGAAAGAAAGGGAAAAAATTAAGATGATCCACGTGCGAAAAATGTATTTCATTAAAAATTATTTTGTTCTTGTAAAAGAACTAACCATTTGGTAGAAAACAAAATTCTGGTAAGTAGTTTTTGTTTTTATTTTTAAATGTCATCCTTTAAAGTATTAATTAAAATTATGCAACTCACATTACATAATTTGCGCTAGTACTTCCAGTACGATTTAGGTGCACAATCTAGTGAAAGTTTTTCTTGCTCTACGACTTTTTAAAGTATATGTATGAGATAATTCTGATTGCTGTTTTTTTATACCCTAAATAAGCAAATTTTTATTAATTTACATTTTGATAAAACAATATAGTATGTACTTGTTTTTTTGGTTTATTTTATAAAGGGTACCTAAGTCACTACATCAAGACTAAAAATGTCTTCAGTGTGTTTATTCCCTAATCAAAAATGAAATCAAATTTAAAACATGGTTTAAATAAAGTGTATTTATGTTATAATTTCGCTGATAGTCAACAAAGTAAATATTTTATTATTTTCGTACATTTTGGAACGATAAATAAATGGAAGTTAATGAATTTATACAATGTTTATTTTTCGGGGAGATATTACTGTACTAAAAGCGTTATTTGTGTTTGGTAGTGATGCAAAACAGATTATGAATGCGAATCTATTGAATGAAAACACTATCTTTATGTAAGCTATTTTCAGTTATTAAAATTGTTAATCTTGCTAAAATCAAAACAAACAAATTGCAGTCACTACAAACGAATTGAAAGTGCGAATTTTGCCGTCACATCTCCTTCTATAGGACGTCAAGACTCAAGACCTAAAACGTCAAATTTATGACGAATCAAAATTCTAACAAGTTTTGCGTTACGACATTTATCTGAAACGGTTGTCTATTCTGAAGCAAGCCAATTTTATATGCGGTTTTTAAATAAGAAATGAAATTGATACGGTTCTATAAAAGATGTTTGATAACGTCCCGTCATGGTAAGCAAATATTACCTCATGCAATATGGGGGAATCGTACGATAAGAGGTGGATTTTCATTTGTAAGGAAGTTTGATCAGGTCAAACCTTTGTAGTCGGCAACTTCCTCTCCGAAAAGGGTTATTTTCCACACGAAGTTTTTTGATATTTCTAAATTTACAACGAGAATTTATATTGTTCCGAAAGGCTTTTTGTTTATTCTATTTGTGTACATACCAAAAATTAAAAAAAAAAAATAGTAAACAATATTTTTCCTTTGTATATTTTTGATCCGTGAAGAATATGTTGAATAATATTACAAAGGTTCAATACCTTTAGACTCTTCTTCCCCTACTGAGCACTAAAGCATGAAAATATAAATCACCAACCCCTAACAAAGAAAACAAGTAAGGCTGAGTTCAAAATCATAATGTCTATTGATTAAATTGTGCCTTAAGATTCAGAGCTTCAACGGTCAAACATATCTCGATTATAAAAATTCGGGTAACAAATATGTACTATCAAATAATCGGTCCATATAAAGTCCCAGACAAAGCTTGGTAACAAAGAATCGTCATTTGGCGTGAAAATTTTCAAGAGATTCGTATAGATCAATTAGTACCACGGTGGTAGAAGTAAGGTGTGGAAACAAGCCGCTCCAATTTGTTGAATAAAACACGCATCCCAGTAGGCTTATTTACTACGAAATAGTATGCAGCACAGTATGTCCATCTATGTATTAACATTTCAACTTGTCCGTGTATTTATGAATGAAATAAGTGACAGATTCGTTGGAGGGAAAATAAATCACAGCACTACGGTTTGTGGTTGGTCTTTGGTGTGAATCGTGTGATTGGTAGATGATTCGACATTTGTGATTGGGTAATAAATGACATTGGCATAAATGTCAAAGATTTAATACAGTTTTCTATTACTTAATTTCAACTGATCTCTCTAGACGTCGCTGCGGTGTGGACAGATAATGACATATAATCCAAACCACGCGATTTGTGTTTTCTACCAATGATTTTGAGGAAAGTTATGAATGAGGTTTCCACACCTTACTTCTACCACCGTGATTAGTACTAATATATGATATGTCAAGTGAAAGTTTAAATGTCACTTGTGTCATTCTATTTTGACAAATGAAGTGTAGCCTATTGTTGCGAATGCACTTTGTATTTTGTGTGCCACTTTTCAGAATGTTTTTTTTTTGCTCAAAAATCGAAATATCTTTAAAAGTGCGTTTCTTCTTTCAGAGGAACTGTGGCAAATGCCGGAAATGGTTGGATATTACAATGAAGCATCCTTGCCCATCGCCACAGTCCAAACCGCCGATGAGGCCCGTCATTCCGTGAAGAAAGTCGTGTGTAGTCCAGACTTGCCAATCGCCGAATACCCTTCCGGCAGCAATCCTCAAGCCGACCAAATCGTCAATATACAGTGTCAAATCTGCAACAAAATGTACAACTCCAAAGCCGCCTTCCAGGCCCACCAGCGCACTCATACTAAAGAAAGCGAGGACCCTTACCGCTGCAACATCTGTTCAAAGACGTTCGCGGTTCCCGCCCGCCTCACCCGCCACTACCGCACACACACCGGGGAAAAACCCTTCCGCTGCGAGTTCTGCAACAAGAGCTTCAGCGTCAAGGAGAACCTCAGCGTGCACCGGCGAATCCACACGAAGGAGCGCCCATACAAGTGCGAGGTGTGTTCGCGAGCGTTCGAACACTCCGGCAAGCTGCACCGACACATGCGCATACATACCGGGGAAAGACCGCACAAGTGCGGCGTCTGCTCGAAGACGTTCATCCAGTCGGGGCAGCTGGTCATCCACATGCGAACGCACACCGGGGAAAAACCCTACGTCTGTACTGTGTGCCAAAAGGGATTCACCTGCAGCAAGCAGCTCAAGGTGTGTATGGGGCAGGGACTCATTATTATTATTATTATCATCACTCACAAGGTTTTCAAATTCTCAACAGTCTTAAAATAACGACGCTGTACTTTTTCAATCAAATGCTTGTCTCTTATTAGAGTGAGAAACCAAGGGACTCTGGGGTGGGTATTCAAGGGCGAACGTCTGACGCGAAAAGGGTTTTAAATAATTTTTCGTCTGGTTTCACGTATGCTTTTTTCAGCAAGTGGGTGGTTATCTTGTCCAGTCAATTCAGCGTTAAAAAATAGGCAACCTTGCATGGTGGGTAGACAGCGATGTTATATTTGAGTTTAGTAGGGAGGTCAGCCGTAAGCTAAAATCGGAGTTTTTGAGGGGTGTTATCATTCGGTTGCCGTCTTGAAAATAAGGGTACAGTTATTTTTTTCATTTTGTTTTTTTTTTCGCAATTTAGTGAAATTTTTCATTACGTACTTTTAAAAATCGATGTTTCAGTTACTTGTGGAAATTTCGAAACGCGATTTGTGCCACTGTTTTCAGGTTATAGATCTTTAGACACTACTCAAAAAATATCGACTTTTTTATCGGAAACGAGATACAGTAGAATCAGATTTTGCGAGCCAAAAAAAAATCATCTTTCAAAAAAAAACAGGTTTGTGGCGGCAAAATGAGTGTTATCAGTTTTTTGGCCAGACCGAGAATAGGCTTCGATAATGAATGTATTTTTTTCTAGAGTCCACATTTTTCCGTATTCTTTGTGATTTAAAGAAAACAAGCGTTGAAATTTGATTCAATGATGGAAATGTTTGAAATTTTTACAACATGGTCAAAAATTACTATCTCAATTGGTATCAACAATTTTTTTTTGAAATTGGTAAATTGTCAGGTCTTCTTACTTCCTGTGTCAAAATTAACATAGTTGACAGTGATATTTAATTTCAATCAATTTATTATAGATTGTTCAGAAAATGTCATAACCTCACTTTCTTGAACGCTTGAATGTGACATAGCGGCAAGTATTTGGATCAAATTCGGCAATGACAGGCGCAAGAAAAAAAATCTCAAGTTATCTAATTCTATTGTCAACTCAAATAATATTTGTTGATCACACTGTGTAATACCATTTTTGAATAAAACGCTTAAAATTGCAAAAAAGTTGAAAAATCTGCATCTTCTGCATTTGACTTAAGTCTTAAAAAAATTATAGGAGTCCCAAAAAAATTAAACCAAACAAATCAATTTTGTACAAAGTCCCATTTCATATTCGAAGTAAATTTAACAAGACATGATCAAATATAGTGAAGGAAAACCCAAAATTTCTAGAACTTTCGGGAAACGTGAGCCAAATATCTAAACAGAACTATAACATCTACAAAAATGACCCTTTCAAGTTTTTTGTCGGACTCGAGGTTACGGAGATAACAAAAATGCACCCTTATTTTCAAAATGGCGACCGAATGACAAAATCCCCAGCTTTAGTTATACTTGGCAACCAAAAAAATTCTGCCTACCCAAAATGCAAAGATAACCCCGAAGTCGTTGATTTTGTGGAGAGTCTGCAGTATGTGCTTATCAATAATGTGCTCTGTTTTGGGGTTGTCTTTGCCAAAATAACATACTTACGAGGTTTAAAGGTATACCAATGCGAGCCCAGTTGTATGCTATAAAAAGATTTTCATAAAAATAAAAAGTCATGTATCCGACGGGAAATAATGCTAGTCCCAGAACTGATCCTTGTGGAACGAACCGCAGACAGTACTTTACGTTTTAAAGAACCTACTTTTACAATAAAATAAAGATACCTTAGGAAAGCCCTTCACCCCTTTACCCTAGCAAGAGATCTCGAACTCTAGCATTTTCTAATTTAGACAGCGGTACCAACTTACAGGAAGTAAGCAAATAACGGTAGACCTACGAGGTTTAAGTAGATCACATTATGATCAATTAAGAGTTGGAGAAGGTGACGAAAGATGACTATTTCCATAATTTGACTATAAATTGACGTAAGGCTAACAGGTCGATAATTTTCTGGTTTTGTTTTGTCGCATTTTTTGAGTAAAGGATTAACTTGTGCCTGAAGCCATAGTAGTGGAAATATTGATACTTGGAATGAACAAGGGTCTCAGAAATTTGGTGAATTTTAATCTCATTAGAAAAAAAATTGACGTTTCCGGAAGATGATTTTATCCTGGATACTGAACCTGGTGGTTGTGTAGTAAATGCGCTACCACAAATGTATGTTGATAGACTTCCTCTTCACTTCTTGCAAATACGTTATTCATCACATATTGGTGTTGAAACTTTTGAGAGTACTTTTTGAAAGCCTTAATTTATAGCGATGTTTTCCTGACCTTAAAGATGTGTGGAATATGAGCGGTATCTAGGTCGAAATCCGCATTCTTGCACGTTTTTAGAAATGTCGTTCAATCCAATTGTGTGGGTTATTTAAAACTGAAAATGTTGGTATTCGTCAAGGTTTCTAACATTGTTTTATTTTATTAAAGGTGCACAGCCGCACCCACACCGGGGAGAAGCCCTACTCGTGTGAGATCTGCGGCAAGTCGTTCGGGTACAACCACGTGCTCAAGCTACACCAGGTGGCGCACTACGGCGAGAAGGTCTACAAGTGCACCATCTGCAACGAAACGTTCAATTCTAAGAAGAGCATGGAGGCCCACATCAAGAGCCACTCGGAGAATGCTCCCACCGCCCCCACGCCGCCGGCGTCGTCTACCTCAAGCGAATCGTCCTGTTCGTCGAGCAGCAGTGACAAAGAAAATAAAGACTCGTTGCCCTCCCCTCAGGAGCCCGCCCTTAGTTACGATTCCGACATCCGGTACTACATCTACCCCCGCGATCGGCTGTCCCCGGGCTACGTCGTGCCGCAGTCGTGTTCCGGCGCCGGCGTCGAACTGCTGGCGGCGGCGGCGACAGCGACCGAGCGCGAAGACGTGGTGCTGAACATCATCACCAAGAACCCCCAGGAGGTGATGACCGCGCTGCGGCATCCCACCTACTTCCCCGCCCCCGCGGTGCAGTACCCGCCGCTGAACGCGGGCGACGACATCCGGAACAAGCTGGAGGCGGTGCTAGGCGTCGGCGAGATCCAGTCCGAGGAGGAGAATATTCTGACTCCGCCCAGTTCGAACCCGGTTTCGCCGGCCCCGTCGGTGTCGCCGGACCCGGAGCGCAGTCTGCCGCCGCGGAAGAGGTCCAAGATGATCTTGAAGTCGATGGAGGCGACTATAGACTTGTCGCCAGTACGTTACAGTTCGGTGATTCAGTATGCGGGAGCGTCCTAATTGCATTACCAAATAATACTCTCGATGAGATTTATTTTATTTTACAGACTGTTTCTCTTTGAAGTTGATTGGTTAATTTTGTTGCCGGGAGCTTTAATCAACGTTCAAACAACACCAAAACGGACTTTTTTTTTCTGTGATAAGACTGTATGATACCGACATTTTACCTCATTGCAGTGCCTAGGGTTTTGACCCTCGCAATATAGTGTTACACTGTGTAGAAACACACAAGTGTAATGCTCATCTCATTATAATTTTATGTCGTTTTTAGTATTTTTATTCTATTTTCCAATGTTCTAGCTAATTGAAAAATAGTGTAAAATGTTGTAGACGTGGTTTTTCTATGATTTTTAATAATACGAGGTTTTACTTTTTCATGATGTAAAAAGTGTACTGTATTTCTGAGTCTGAACCGTTGATGAAATACCATTTCAATGGTAGTAACTTATTGTATTCCTTATCATCTATGTATTGTCTAAACGAACCGCAAGAATAAAAAAATGTATATTAAATCTCTGTTTTTATTTCTTTGCTTTCCAAGATACAAAAATTTATTGAATTAAGGTTTGGTTCTGAGAACATGTAGTGCTACACGTTTCGTTCCTGATTTCGGCAAATACTTGTAACTCTGGTCTTCATTCAAGAAATTCTGTAAAAATCCTCAAGGTTCGTGTCATTACTCGGGAAAATAGCAGCAGTGACAAAGAAAGCTCTTTATCAACAATTCCTCTTTAAAGTATACGTTAAAAAACTACTGGTCCCTCATCTCCCAAGTTGAAGCTCTGTACGGGTAAGGTCAGTTCGAAAAGCTAGATCTAGAAACATGGTCATGTGAGGATAATACTCCCCGTAATTTTTCGTAGCTCTGATGTAATTACTTAAAAAGACCTCCACCAGCGCGAAAATACCGGTACCAGATAAAATCAGACTGCCTTTAGCATCTTCCTTTTCTACACATAGGTAAAGCTTACAGAAAATCGAAGAATACAGGTCTTTTGTTATGAGTTTTAAATTCTTCAGTGGAGAACAAAAATTGTTACAGCTTTCAAGAAAAAAAGATTGAAGTAAATATTGGACCTTTCTTTCTTTCTCGTAGACCTTGATGCTTCCTTCGGTCCTTCATTGGCCCAGAATGTTTGATCGTGAAACAAGAAAAATTCGTCATCGAATATTTTGGGCGTCATCCAGTGATTCTATTCAATTTTAAGGACGGTAGACCCGAAAATGAGTGAGGAAGGCTTATTTAGAAAACGAGTATTTTAAAAAAATGTAAAGAATTTCAATCTGATAAAGTGGGATATGTCCTTTTGAAAGAAACATGCGAAAAATGATGATGACGAACTTAAGCAGCTTTGATTAAAAGTTTAAGAATCCGTTGGGGAAGAGACTGTTTTTAGCGGATGAAATTGACAAGTCTTGTGTAGCCGCCATGGAATATGAATGCTCTGAAAGTCAAATGCGTAAGGTAGGAACTACTATCATTGATGTGGTGTGTTCAATCTTGAAGTCAGGAGAGAACGAGTTAAAACTTCAACCTGTTTTGGTCACTGGCATTTGCAAGCTTGGAAATTCTGGGCTATCACCTCTGGACAACACAGTGAAGGTATACTTCTTGAGTGACTCTAGATTTTTTAAATATTACGGGTTGACTGCTCAAGAGGTTGATTCCTTAGTGAGGACATTCTTTGGCTCAGAGGGAGATGCTGAGATCGAGAAGTTAATTAGTCACATCGACACATACTACAGCGACTATTGTGAGATTACCTCTTCTGGTGAAAAAAATAAATATGCCAGATACTGCTTATTCTGCGTCCTTAGCTACATAAAACACAGAAATGAGAATAAGAACCAGAAGAAGTGGAGTTTCTGGACTGACGGAGGTTTTTTTAATGGAAATTGTGTCAGTTGAAAGTTGCATCTGGGGTCCTGGATCCAGATGCAACTCAACTTTTTCTTACAACGAGATTATTTGGCTTGCAATCTGGAAGAAATAATTGAAGATGAAAGAAAGGTATCTGTATAAGAATCCCAAATTTGGAAATTAAACGTGTTTTCCATTTGATGTTCAAGGTTTACTACAGTAACAGCCTTCCAGAAAATGTTGTATCAAAATTTACTTTTTGCGGACAGTTCTTCAAATCACTACCCAGGCAAAACTCTACAAAGTTACAGAAAATTCTAGATCAACTCTGTGAAAACTTCAAATATATTTTTAAATACATATTTGAATTGGAAGAATGAATCTTGAGTATGTTGCCACATATTGACAATCTTGCTTTATGCTGATTACGATAAAGGTGAGATGGAATATACAGTACAATATCTTGATATTAAAGTGACAAGCCGTGTCATATCTACATTGATCTTTGGGGGTGTCACGGTAACTTCGCCTTAATTTTTGGGTTGTTGTACTGTAGGTTTTTAAAAGCCCAATTGTTCTGGCCGAGAACTAATATTTTGTCTTGAAAAGTAATAGGAGTAGTAGATACTGGATTTTATAATTTTCATATGGAACCGGTGAAATTCGATGCTTGTTAAAAGCAAATACTCAAAGTATTTAATCTTGTTTTAAGGTAAATTATACTTTTAAAAATGTATTTTTCTAAAAGGATTTATATCCAGTTTCCATTGGCTCTATCCGGAACTGGTGAAAAATTCAGACAATAAGATCGTCGATAATTTTTTTTTAATTTACCAATTATGATCCTGGTTCATCAATGGAAAGCCATTTTGGGGCATCAAAAAATGAAGAACTCTAACTTTTTAATTTCGGGGTGTTAAAACCCGAGAAATTTGAATAAGATTTTTGGCTCTTTTTTGGTCGTTTTTCAATGATTTTTGCGTGCCCAGTTGGCTTGGTTCAGAAATAAAAAGTCATTTTGGGTATTTTGTAAGTTTTTAGGTTGCTCTTGAGGTAATTTTGCATGATTATGTGTGTTTTTCAACGATTTTTTCTTGTGTCCACAATTTCTGGTAGTCTACAGATATTTGGGTTCTTTTGGGATGCATAAAAATTAGTGCTTTTTAAAGGATTTTAGGTCTTCTTCATCACCCCGGTTTACGGCTTAGGAGAACGAAGTTATGAAATATACTATATTTGAAAATATTTTCAGTAATTTAATTTAATTACAAAACGAGTTTATTCTGATACAGTATAGCAGGTTGGTGTTTAAATAAAGAAAAGAAAAACGTGTGTTATAGAAGCAGTACTTAGATGAAGTAAAATAAAAAGAATTCGATAATATTTAATGTGAAAAAAATTCTTAATACCTAAGTATTCAGTTATCAATTTTTGTATACTTAAGTAGAATACGGAAATTTTAAAAATCTTTACCGGCAAGTCATTTCGTCCGCTGATGAAAAAACCGGGGAACTTTATTTTACATATAGTTTAATGAAATGTTTAAAATAAGGTGTGAATGAAACACTAAATAAACTAGTTTGTAAACAATTAATAATATATGAGTAATAGGTATTTAAGTTTTCTTGGGAAAAATCAAAAGGAAAAAATTGTCTGAACATACGCACAAATAAAATACTTACAAAATACGTAACAAAAAGACGTCAAAAAAATGTTTGATAAAACAAAAATAAGACAAAATACCGATCAAATAGCCTTCATAAAAGGTAAAAAGATGTTAAAAAAACAACACCCAATATAGAATTAATGCAAAATTCTAACCTTTGGGCTTCTTCTTCTGCTACAATTTAGCGAATCCCCTCATCTTCATTTACGAACCCACTGTAACAAAAAATACATGAAATTTTTGGGTACACAAATAAAAATACCATAGAAGTCAACATCAACTTTATACTTACTATTTTTTAATAATGATGCAATTAAACAATACACAGATTTAATAAGTACTTGCATAACATTTAAAAAATACTAATCAGAAAAAGTTTTGAAATCACAATATAAATTCTAAGCAAAATTTTACATTTACATCCTGCGATTCTTGGTGAAGATGAACAGAAAGAATCTATACGACAAACTCAAAATGCACAAAAAAAAAAATCATTTCGGAGAATATTTGCCTAAAAAATCCCTAACAAATAGATAGACGAAAACGGAAAATTGATCATTTCACTTCATAAACTGGGAAACGTCCAGAAAACAAGAAATGAAAATTTAATAAAAAGAACCTTGCTCCACTACGTTTAGAAATAAAGAATGTTCTTGAATTAATTTAACCGAAACTTCAATAAACTATAAAAAATATTGAAGACTACTGTTTTCAGTGAAAATGGTTGTCTGAAACGTTTTACTGATTAGTGAACTTTTTTTAGTTGTAGTTAAGTATCTCCCAGATAGAAAAATATTTTCAAAACAATTTTGAAATTAAAAAAATAATACAATAATTTCAATGAATAATGTTATGCAGTGATGGGTAAAAGTTAAAGAAAGTCCGTAATGAGACAAAAATCAAAATTGGATCCAATTTTTAAATAATTAACATTGATAAAAACGTATTAGATGTTCCAAATTATTTCATCCGAGAACGCCAGTTTTAAAGAATAGACATCTGACGAGATATTAACTTGCCAAAATAAGACTGATTTTGGCAAATTACTTACTCTCTTAGAAAATAAAGGGCGGTTGGGCGGGACTAGTACTTACTGAGATAAAACTGATTGTGCCAAATGATATACCCTCTACCCTTCATTTTCTTAGAGGGTATGTCATTTGCCAAAATCAGTCTTATCTTAGCAGGTACTAGCCCCGCCCACCCACCCTCTCTTTTCTCACACGGTACCTCATTTGCCAAAATCAGTTTTATCTTAGCAAGTAGGTACTGATGACTAACTTTTACAAAAAATGATCAAAATTTGCAAACATTACGAGCTTACTACTTATATGCACAAAACAGGAATTTTGAACATCTTCTCTAGTGTTTAGTTGTTCTTTCTATGCTTTATTACTGAAGTTTAGTTTTGAAATTTCGTTGCGACGTTGCCACGTTATCTCGATTTTCTTCAAATATTATGGCAATGAAACAGTTCACAAAAAAAAATCGCAGTAAGGTTATTTTAAAAATCTGTGTTGCAATATTTGATTGAAGAGTAAATAAGGGTGCGAGCTTTGTTGTGATGTCAAATCAAATTTTAGTATAAAGATTGTTAAAAAAAAATTGACGATTTTCAAACATCGATAGTTGAGTTTTTTCAACAGAACACCCTGTATCAACGTTAAGTATAGAAAATACTTGACAAAAAGGTAAGAGAACAAAAAATAGAGTAAGATCCAGTAACAAAATACAGGGTGTTCTATCTGAAACAACTGAAATATCGATAATTGAAAATTGTGATAATTAAAATTTTCTTATACATATTCTATATTCTTTAGATACTCTGTCGGTATATGAAAATTTTATTTTATTTACACCACAACAAAACTTTATTTATTTTACCTCAAAATATCGTAACAGAATTTAAAAATAACCTTACTGCGATTTTTTTATGAACCCTTCCATTGCCAAAAAGTTTCGAGAAAATTGGAATAACGTGGCAACGTCGCATCGTAATTTCAAAAATAAACGATGCTTGTAAAGTCTAAAAAGAGGTCAATCAAAATATGTAAAAATATGTAGGCTGTTTCATTAAAAAGATAAGTTGTGTGTTATGCCTTAAAAATAGAACACTCTGTATAGTTAAAAATAATTTTAAAGTATAATCCTCAAACAACGATATTTGCCTTTTTTTGGATCAATATAATTTTGTTTTAACATTAATTTTCAAAGGTTACTAGACAACATTTTTTTTATCATATGGTATTACTTATCGAGAGCGCAATAAAAGCACGATCAAAGATATCCATGCATTTTTGCTTTTTGGCTTTGTTCATTGTAACTATATATTTTCAACTTAAACTTTCAAATTGACCATAATTTGGCAAGACGAAAGTTTTATCAAAGATAATGTCCAAAAATCCATGACTCACTTTGATCGTTTTTTTTATTGTTCTCGTTATGTTATGTCGTTCTACTTTCGTAAATAAGTTTGATTATGATTTTTGGCTGAAAAGCATAATTTTCTAAAAAAAAGGCAGATACTTTTACAAATAATAATAATTTTAATAAAGATTTTCAGGCACCTATGTTTAATTTTTTATCGGTAACGAAACGGAAAATTACAAGACTTAAAATTCAGTGACCCGAGTAATTTTAATTCTCGGCTGCGCCTCGGGTGTAAAGTATACACTTAATTTTTGGCCTTTACTTTGAATAAAATTTTTGAGCATACGTTTTTTTTTATTCATTTTTATTTAAAAATCTAATTTTCCCAAAATTCTCTAGGTACGAATACAAATTTCAATGTTTCGAAAATCGTGAATAAAGCTCTAATGTTAAAAGTATTATTATTACTCGAGGCAAAGCCGAGAGTTGCTTTATTTTTGTCTCCCATGAGTACGTTTGCAACCCTCGGTGGCGCCTCGGGCACAAATTACGCTCTTAATTATAAACCTTCAATTTTTAAATATTTCTCTCTACTTGTTGAAACAAACATATTTATTAAGGTGGTTAAGTAACGATTTGTACAATACAGCTACTTTTCCCTTAACGTCCATGTTTTGATATCAATTTAGAATAAAATAAAATAATAGACCGATGCATAAACCTGATAGTAACATTTACCCTTTAAATCCTGATTTCCTTTCTTTCCGCGCCGTTCCTTCCAGACTCCTTCCTCATGGGCACATCACAACACTCACCCTTCACTTTAAGCCCGAAATCAAATTATTTTTAACAAAAATGAGCCACAAACAAACTAATTTACCACCGCACCGCACACGCTCTCAACAAAACCAAAACCGACGGAACTCCTTTGTGTACCACAAAAAATGAACAAAAAACTCTTACCGATAACGACACCACATCAGACTTTTTTTGCAGAGTTTTTATACATCGATGCATCGCACCCTAGATGAATCTTATTTAAAATACTGCAAGGTTATTCATTAGCAGAACATAATTTTCGCGCTGCGTGGATGGATAAGAAATTACGAATTTTATATATACAATTCGCCGAAAAAAAAAATAAAAAACTCTTTCGAAAATATTTTATTTTTCCACAGTTAATGACAACACCGAATTCAAATTCTTTCACCATTTCTGCTACAATACTCATGTAAAATAAATTCATACGGGGTGTTCCAACGGTTACAGGAAGGAAAATTAAACATTCGGTGTAGACTGTAGAAAAAATTCTGGCCATTTTCATGTTTCATCGATGTTTCATAATCATAACCCCTAGAAAACACATATGGAAATCCAAAAATGTGTAGAATGTTAACGAATATACGAGGGGACTTCACAAAATTCGTTGAATTAATGCTTGTGGGATTACAGCCCTGAATCCTAAACACTATATTAAGTGTGAGTGAAAACCAAAGAAAATATATAAACTCGGAAAATAAAATATCCACAATATTTCTGTGCGTGTAACAAGTTTGATTACGTATTTCGCAAACCCATAGCTAAAAGCGGATTCTAGAAAAAAAATCTAAAATCAGATTGCAAAAAACATAAAAAGATTATCAACTAATTTCAATGATAAAAAAACTTTGCTTTTATAGACCAACACCGTAACTGTCTAATCAAAAATTATTCAAATTTTAATCAGTGCAGTACACACGAGGACATCATTAAGTTTTCTGGGCTTCACTTATATGTAATACCACCTCAGCCCAAAATCACTCCCCAAAAAGATTCATATCGTAGTATAATTTATCACCAAGAGATCAATACCCTTTAACTGTTAGTCTCAATGCAGCCGCAGAGCGAGTTCGTGACCATGACGCAATTATCAAAATTGAGCACCAAGGCATCATAAAATTTGTAAGAAAAAAAAAAGGGGGTTGACCGCATAAAATTAAATTGGCGACGGTTCCCTGTCGTACTCACCAGTAAAAAGTTATTGAAAAGATTTCGTCTGGTTTATGATCCAGCGGGTCAAAATCAAGGAAATTGTACCTATAAATAGATTTTTAGCTGCAGTAATTTGCCATACTCGCAGTTTGGGTTCGGAAATTTCTTCCTGTAGTCCAAAGGCTGAAATTGCTGTTTGAGAATATGGACTTCAGCACCGACTTATCGACTTCAGAGACTTGTCGGTCTATTCTTAAAAATAAAAAAAACAAACTCTTCACCCTTCATGGAATGGAACATGAATCGGGAAAAGCAATCTGCAATGTAATGACGATTCATTTATAGCGTGCTTATAATAATAATAATAATAATAACTGATATTGCAGTTGCCATAGTGATGACTCATCATCACCGACGGCGGCGCTCTACTAAAGAAAAGGCTGGAAGCGGAAGTCGCGATGGGTACTCCAGAACAAGCTCGATCTCGAAATATCTAGAAATAAGCAGTGGCTGCTTAAATATGGAGTCCAGTCAAGGAAAGAAGTAGAGTCTAATCCAGGAGTCGGTTAAATTGAGTCAGAATTATTCGCTGTTATAATTTCGCTGTCTAGTTAGTATTAATACATTTGTATTACTGGGAAATAAATTGCTGATCATCGTGGCAGTATGCATAGTAACCTGTTCTCTTTTCTACCTTCGAACCAAAATCCGGTTTTACATTTTTTCTATTTTTCCGTTCTACCAAAAAAAATACATGCATATTTTTTTGCCCAATTTCCGTTCGTCAGAAAATACGTTTTCCTTTTACGTACGCATTTTACATACATATTTTTAAATTAACAGCATTCATTGAATTCCATTAGCCGTGGCAGAAGAACACTTGGCATATTTTAACTGGTTGTAGTTATTATAATTATTATTACAATAATTACAATAAATTATTATTATTGAAACCTTGAAACTATTGAGTTTATGCAACCAACATTAACGTATTTTTGTGGCGACACCTACTGTCAAATTTAGAAACTATAGTAAAATTCAACCCATCAACCCAGGATAACCTCACATTTTACACCTGTTTAAATTTCTTTTCTGAATTTGTTGGAGTGTTTTTGAGAATATAGAACTGTCATCAAAATGCAATATAGCTTTTTATTGTAGCCATGGACAAGTTAAAAATGTATCCTTTTTAATACGTAGCATGTGCGGTCCTTTATTAACTTGGAATTGTATAACTTTATTAACTCTAATTAGTGATATCGAAATCCCCTTTCCTACCCAAAGACTTGCTGAAATAGCATACCACGTCTTAAGAGTAGATGCAGAACCCAAAAGAAGTGGAGTTTCAAAAGAAATATCATTTAATAATAATATTTTACAAGCGTAAGTTCCATTAGATTTGTTTCAATAAGAAATGTAAAACTATCATTTACAGAAAATTTTCTGCACAACTAGCTCGACAACTACGAGTCGCAGTAAACGGATTTTTTGAAAGTGTCAACCTTATCACAGAAACAATTGAATTTGCTGGAGAACCGGTCAGTGCTGAATACAGTCATTTTTGCTAAAAATGCCAGAACACACCCCAGCACCTACACCAAGCAGGGCGGTGTATGGTTTTGCTATGTATTTGAGTTTTCGAAGTTTTTTCATTTTGTATTTAGTGTGGGCAATTATACCTGACGAGTGGTTCAAGGTAGTGGGCATAACGTGTTTACCCCAACGATATTGGGCCGTCACTGTACCAGTTTTCCTTCTTACAGTGCTCGCGATTTTTGCATTTTTTATTTACCCTAGCTTAGGATTGTTGATGACACCTAATGTTGATGATTTGAGGACTATCCGAGACACAACTAGTACTAAAAAGAGAAAAAGTAGAAGTCTCTTTTCTATGCAAAACTATGGAACTTGCGGCGAGTGCAGTTGTGTCAACAAGGAATCGTGTTTGAAAGACGATTATCAAAAGAACTGTGGTGATTATGTTGTTAAGGCTATTCCTGTTTTGCAGGATTTACCTATCTGGGAGGTTTCAGATCATCTGTATTTTAAATAAAAGTGCTGTATATTGAAAATCAAACTTTATTTTTATAATTACTTTAGAACTAGAAAGCAAATTGTAATATCCAGTTAAACATAATAGTGAGGTTTCTTGATAGTAATTCCAAATTCAGCCAATGCTGGAATTAAGTCTTCCATTGTTAAGCAGTAACGTCGATCTTTTGATCCCTTTGATCCCTACAATTCAATTTAAGAAAAAATATGCCATTTTCACACAATCTTACCTTGGAGCTGCTATGACTACTTGACGAATTACTAGAACGCATTTTACAATGCTGAAGGGCATCATTTGCAATATCAGAAATAAATTTTTGAGCTGCAATAGATATTAATCGAATTAATCTTGGATCTTTTGCATCACATCCAGAATTTCGTAAGAAGTGAGCGGTTACTGCATCCGGTATCTGGAACATTTTATTGACAATTTGAACGTAAATTATACTACTACTTACAGTTGGAGTGTAGTCTTCTAGCTGTAATAAGAAATTGCTAAGTGGCTGTCCAAAAGTTGTAGGTTCGTTATCGTCTACAATCATTTTGTTGTCGTTCATTTCAGCCATGAACAGTGCACTTGTTTAACCTTTGTTAGAAGACGAAAAGAATTTCGTAAATAAAACTGTTAAAAAAAGAAAAGTAAAAAAGTTATTTTAGATTTTGCTTGATGCTGAATGACAAGACCACAATAAATAACAACTTCGCCGTCGACATGACAAATGACATTTGGATTTAGTGGAATTTGCGTTTTATAACTCAAAAAGTTCCTAGTTTCTTGACATCAGCGGGGCAGTTCTTCGATCGCCATTTGATATCTAAGAAAAATTAAATTAATTTATTTCGTATTACATAACTAAAAAAGTAAGTTACAAATTTATAAAATACTTTTTTAGAATGTATGGGTGTATTTTCGTTACTCTCTCGCATGGGATACGTGTTATGTAATAATTGAGGTTATACCCCCGAAAATACTTTTTTGAAAAAACAAAAATCTTAAACATTGTTACATTTTTTCAGAAATGGCTGCCATGCGATGTGTTTCACGTCTTCTTACCCGTCGCACGATCAACACAATCTCAACTCGAGGATATGCTGACGAAATGAGTTTCACATTTGCAGCTGGAAATCAAGTACGTCCAAATTTTAATAGTAAAAATAGCTACTATTTAAACCATTTTTAGGTTTTCTATGATTCGCAGTCCGTGAGGCAAGTAGACGTGCCATCCTTCTCTGGTTCATTTGGTATTCTGCCTAAACACGTCCCCACTTTGGCAGTTTTGAAACCTGGCGTAGTCACTGTTTTTGAAAATGACGGTGCTGTTAAGAAGATCTTTGTCTCCAGTGGAACAGTTACAATTAATGAAGATTCTTCAGTGCAGGTTATATTTTGTGTTGATCAAATAAACAAGTTTGTGGTTGTATTAGGTTTTAGCTGAAGAAGCAGCGGCTGTTGAAAATCTTGATGCTTCAGCTGCCAGAGAAGTTCTCAGCAAGGCACAAAGTGAACTAGCTTCTGCCAGTACTGATCAGGTACTTTGTGACAAATAAATTTTATTGAAGGTGTAAAAATGTTGTTTTAGGCGCGAGCTGAAGCTACCATTGCTGTAGAAGTTGGAGAGGCTCTCGTTAAAGCCGTGGAATAAATTGATCACACCTGAAAATAGATTGTTAATTTTAATTATAATAAAACAAAGAAAATAGTCATAATAGTGGAAAATATGCCCCCTCATTCAGATTTAGATGCACATTTGTTACTGATTCCAAGTATTTTACTTTTCTTGTATCATTTCTGATAACGTTTAGAAAACAGTTTGCAAAAACCTTTTTTAAACCTGTTACAAACTCAACAGATAGATTTTTTATGTTGGTAGACCCATTGTGTTATTATTCCATTATGTTGCACATCCTGTTAAATGTCAATGTCAAATATGACATTCATAAATCCCGAGACGTTCATTTTCATTAATTTGTAAATTTCTTTTTGTGCTGGTAGAAGCTATTTAAATTTTTTAAAATGGGTATGTAACAGAAATAACGCACAAACTTACGATAAACCGAACGTTTATTTCAGCTTTTAAGATGTCATACAGTTTTGAAGGTAATTACAGAACAAAGCCTGAACAAAATCTTTCAGGAGCTAGCAAAAAAATATCCAGAGATTTATTACTGCAAAAGACACACGAAGAGAGACGTAAGCGGCAGGTGAGTAAACACGTCAAACTCAACAACAATAATAAAAATAACGCTGTGTAGGAGCAACGTTTAAAGTTACAAAGCGCGGAACTTTTACAATCTCATATTAGAAGTTATTTAGTTCGGAAACATAAAAAAGAGGAAGAGAGATGTTTTTATGATAATAATTTTGAAAGTACACCTATAAAGGTACTACTGTCGAAACTTTTATTCTTTTATGACTCTGACAAGGATATAAGGAGACTGGTAAAAGGAAGACTAATTCACTTGATTGTCATAATAATGGAAATTTTCCAGCATCAACTGTCAGAGCGTTTGTTGCATCAAAGTGCTGAAATCAACCAATTATTGGAAACTGATTCCAAGCTGGGATGGTTAGTAAAACGATGGTTAGTTTTATGTTTAAAGACCTCTTATCATCCACATTTGACAATGCTAATGCTGAATTGTCTCGATTTTTTTGTTTCCAATACACATACTATTGAATATCTTATTCGTAAGGGTGAGCATAACATAATTTGTTTTTAGCTTCAGAGGTTTCACTGTGATATTTATTAGGTTATTATGTATACCTGCGTACGTTACTGGATAATAACAGTAAGGAGTTACTTCAACAAACTCTAAACCTGATTTATCGCCCCTTCCAATCACTACGTATCTCGCAAAGTTCACAGGACATAATAATGTCTGAATTTTGCAGCAATTTTCTCAAACCCACATTCACAAATAATGTTAAGACTGTTCTCATACCATATTTAAAAAACAAAAGGGACTTCCCATATGAAAAGATCATTCGTTATTTAAACAGTGGCTATCATTTTCAAATCAGCAATAGTCTGTTTTATTGTATACTTGCTCTGGAACCCGACGATTATGGTAAATTCCATCCAATGTTTCTTACTACCTTGTACAATTTTGTTACTTTAGAACCCACCACTGACAGTATTCAAGTTTTGTCTAACTTAAGCTGCGATATTCACCAGTTGAAACCACCAATTTATTTAATAGCAGACGACAGCGACGACGAGAGCGAGGTTCAAGTGTCAGAAGAAGAACTACTCCTTTCTGACTACTTACATATCATGAATAAACCAGAAAGAGTGAGAAAATGGTTACACTTTTTTGAACAGAATAGCAATAATGAAGATGTGTTGATGTCGTTAACAAAGTTCTGTCACAACCTTCTCCTCGTATACAAAGATTCAATTAGGAAATATTTGTAAGTCTCGTTGATTGATGATTTTGCGCGCTCTAATAGGACCACTGTAGATTGCTCTATAAATTGGGCCTGAATGGCAACTTTCTGAATAAATTGTGGAACATGTTGAACAGAAAACGCAGCCTTGAAGGTGAACTAAGAGGGTCTTGCTTGTTATCCTGGAAAGACTGTCATACAAATCTTTCAGTTTTTTGTGATACTTTTACGTTTTATACGGAAACTTTAACTGATCGAGGTTTGTATTTTTTTTTTTTAGAGGCCCGCTTGAAGACTGTGTGTGCGCCTACACTTCTTGATTTAATAGTCGTGTTCCTGAGGCCTGTTTTCCCGGCGGCGAAAATCCGGTATTGCAGATAAACATTCACATGAACAGTGACAGTGAGTGAAAAAACTGCGTTTTCGAGTCCACGATGATTTTAATTTAATTGATGAAAATTTTAGAAAATCAATAATAAAGTGTCCTTATTTGTGGCATGTATTTACCTTCACAACATTCCAAACTTCTAAATTAGCAACATGAAGTGTGATATTCTATTCTATTTAAATTTTCAAATCGGGACACCTCAGTGGCACAACACGTATGTAAACATGAATTATAAGTCCAGATAATATGATGGAATAGTTTAGGTGTACACACAGTATTTAAATAACAAAATAACTAAACTGAGATACCCACTAAATATTTGTTTTTTTTTTTATAGAAAATTCTGATACAAGTGAGACTTTTTCCCCAAATGATCTGTACTCTATGTCAAAATTATTAAAAAATGTAGCTGTCGACTTAGTGGAATTGGCATTTCCTATGTGTAGATCCAGCACAGTAGGTTGTTATAGTTTATGTTGTGCCTTAACTCGTTTAATTAGATTCCAGCAACTCCAGAAATTCTCCATTTGTATAGTTCTTGTTTAAACTGTGTAAAAATGTTGTACATGTTGGACATTAGGAAACAGTTTTGTCCGCAGGCGTTTTGGACCGCCAAAAAAATTCACATTTCGCAGGATTTGTCACGACGGAATTACTTATCTAAAACTATCAAACCTTTCCATGGTTTAGTAAATGACAACGATGGTACGTAAAATAAAAAAAAAATAATAAGTAAAAAAGGGGTTAATTTTTCACTTGTAGATGAAGATCACCTTCCTCCCCTATCCACAATAGAGCAACGATCTTTGGCAATATTGCAAGAACTACCATTTCTAATTGGATTTAACACGAGGGTCTTGCTTTTGAGGGATTGGTGTAGGAACAGTCTAGGAGAAAACGATTACCAACGACTCCATCACGAGTTTCTTAATGATAATTTGGTGGTAATTCGACGAACGCACTTGTATGAGGATGCATTTGAAAAACTGTCAGTCAAAAATGGTGACTGTTCTAAATCGAAATTTAGAGGATTTCAAATTAAATAAACCATTTGTAGAAACCGATTTGCGCCATAAAGTTCGTATTCAGTTTATCAATAACGTGGGGCTAGAAGAAGCGGGAATAGATGGTGGTGGGATTTTTAAAGAGTTTATTAATGAGGTTTTGAAGACCGCGTTTGATCCGAATCGCGGTTTCTTTTTGCTGACAGCCGATAATACGTTGTATCCAAACCCAAATGTACATCTGATAGTGGAAAATTACATGGAGCATTATTATTTTATAGGACGACTTGTTGGAAAAGTGAGATTCTTAATCATTTCGTTATTGTTCGTATTTATTGTAATTTCGTAGGCAATCTTTGAAAATATACTCGTGGATCTCCCTATAGCCGAGTTCTTTTTAGCAAAACTGTTGGTAGACAGGGCTAGTGCTCATTATCTAAAATCGTTGGATCCGGTGTTGTACAGAAATCTCCTTTATTTAAGAGACTACCCTGGAGATGTTAGTGATCTTGGTCTAGATTTTACAACAGTGAATACCGACTTAGGAGAAACAAGAGTAATATAAAAAGAAAGGTCAAACTATTTTACTCTTTGTTGTGTTTATAGGTGGTCGAGTTGAAACCTCATGGTAGTAATATTCAAGTAACGAACGAAAATAGACTCGAATACATACAAAGACTAGCGGATTTAAAATTAAACGTTCAGTTGAAAAAACAATGTTCGTCTTTTAGGGGGGGACTAGATAGCGTTGTGCCATTACTATGGTTAAAGTTGTTCAATCATAACGAACTTCAGGTGATTATTGGTGGAGACACACAGGAAATTGATTTAAGCGATTTGAAAGCTCACACTGTATATGGAGGTATTAATACGTTTAATAATAAAACAATTGTACAATTTTTTTACATATCTTAGGCGAATTCACCGTTGATCATCCAACCGTTAATTTATTCTGGAAAATCTTAAATACGTTTACTGATACTCAGAAGAAAATGTTGCTCAAGTTTGTGACGAGTTGTTCAAGACCGCCTCTGCTGGGATTTAAGGAGTTGAATCCACAGTTTTGTATACAGTCATCTGGAAGTGAAGATAGAATGCCAACTGCAAGCACATGTTTAAATCTTCTTAAAATACCCATTATTAAAGAGGAAGAACTTTTGAAGAATAAGCTCTTGGGTGCGATTGAACAGCAAGCTGGTTTTGAATTATCGTAATTTCCAGTGTATTTTTTGTGTATTTAAAAATGTATATTCCATATAATTTTTTTTGTTTTGTTACATTTTTAACTAATAAAATGTCATTTTACGTATTGTGGTTTGTTTATCTAATTGGTTTTGATTGAAGGGCGATGCATAGCGATAATTATAACCACTAGTGCAGATGCGCTTCGTCTATAAATACAATAGGTAAGTCAACAGGCTGTTTGTAAGCTGTTAAGTAATTTATGTCTTTGAATGGCAAGAAATGTGACTAATATTTTTTAGTTTTTTAGTCATCAACTAACTGAAATATTTTTCCAAATTGTACCTCCCAAAATTGTTCGATTGTGTATGTAGAGGAGAGTGGAACAATATATTATTGATTTCGTTATCTGTCAGGGTGTGCTCTTGACATGTCAATACTGCTTTAAAAAAATAACAAATAGGTTAAATTACAGTATACGAAGTGGTACTTATTCGTTAAATTAAATACAAAATAAATATGTTTTTAACTGAATGGTGTAATGTGAAATCATTATAAACAGTTAGTTTAACCCAACCTCAAATTATACGTGTAGATATATAGATACATATCAAAGCACTAAGATTACTTGTTCTGGAATTTGTACACGTTGGTGTCGTGTCGAAAAACTGAAGATTATCCACCACTCACTTTACTCAAGAATAAAAAAAAATCAACAACTTGAAAGGTACTATTCTCCCCTATAATAATGAATACAAATTAAAATACAACATCGTCGAAATCACGTTGATTTCATGTTCTAGTTTTAATGCTTTAGTCAAATTTCAGTTTCATTTTGTTCTGTGATAGTTTCAATACAAAGCTTTTGTTTTTTTTTCTGCAGAAGTTTATGTCAGTAAACAAAATGTGAAATTAGCATTCTTTGTTAAATAACTCAAATGTGAAAGAATTAGAGGATGCAGGAAATTCTGCATTAAGAATCACAATTGTTTACAAACTGTCAACAAGGAAATTGATAAACTAGATTTGTCAACAAGTAGGTAACTAACGACAAACAGAACGCCTGTATATAATTCATGTTTTGGGGATTATGTACTAAAAAAAAATCACTCTATTTGATAGACAATTGACAACTAGCGTTTTCTTCTACCAACTAATGAAACAATTGTTAAAAAAGGCACTGAGGCTCAATTTTTGCTTGAAATCTCTTCATCATGAAATAACTTTTATTAGAGCGTCTGTTAAAAAAAAATATTCATAAATATTTTTAAATATCTTTGTTGTAACGAAAATCAGCAACAAACCTATTATAATCTATACATATAAAATTGTTTGTCCTGACTGACTGATTCATCAACGCAGAGCCTAAACTACTGCAGCTAGAAACATGAAATTTGGACAATAGTTTGCTTTTGTGATGTAAACACCCACTAAGAAAGGAACTTGGGAAATTCCACCCCTAAAAGGGTGAAAAGCGGTGGTAAAGTTTGTACAGGAAGACTATTTCCTAACTATTTCTGTTGTAAATATTTACGTGAAACTTGGTATTAATGCTTTTCAACACAAATAACGAAACACGTATTTCACCATTTTCCGAAATTCAACCCCTAAGGGGGTAAAAAGTGGTGGATAAGTTTGTACGGGAAAACTACTTCTGTTGCACATTTTCACGTGGAACTTGGTATTAATGCTCTTCAACACATATAATGACACACGTATTTCAGCATTTTCCGAGATTCAACCCCTAAGGGGGTAAAAAGTGGTAACTAATTGTGTATGGGAAAATATTTCTATTGTAAATTTTTGCTTGGAACTTGATATTAATGCTTTTCAACACAAACAATGTAACGCGTATTTCAGCTGTTTTTGAGATTCTACCCCTAAGAAGATCAAATGAGGTGACAAAGTTTATATGAGAAAAAATATTTGTATGGCGATATTTAGTTGAAATGTTGTTAACATTTGTTACTTGAAAATTGGTAATCATGTAAAATTGTTTGTCTTGACTGACTGATTTTAATTCTTTTTTGAAATTCATCCCCAACGGAATATAATTTGGGTGGAAATGAAATGAAAGGATGTAGCTGTAGCAAAAAATATCCTCGAATTCTCCTGAAAGAAACCCAAACAGGCGAAGACAGCTACCCTCAATACCGGCGAAGAGGTTCCGCGGATGGTGGATTCACGATTGAATTCCATGTTGTAACCCTATATAACAGATGGGTGGTACCGTACAATCCACTTTTATCTTGAACTTTTGCTGCTCACATCAACATAGAGTATTGTAACTCTCAAACTCCAACCAGGATTATTTGGTCTTGAAAATGACAATGATGAGGTCAAATTATATGAAAGTGGTCGATATATTAGCAGCTTTGAAACTGTCTGGAGAATCCTGACCCTTTCCTATACATGAACAATTTCCAGCGGTTTTTCATCTCACAGTGCACTTTAAAAATGGCCTGCTGTCTGTTTTAATCCTAACGACCAGTGGCGGCTGGTGGGTCAAAATTTCGGGTCGGCCAAATATTTTGAGTCTACACCTTGGTGTTATATATTTTCGTAATGTATGGCTGCTACTCATTAACCACTGACATTTTACGTGCCAGGATGTACAAAACATCTCAAATGTTTCGACCTGTTAAAATAATTTTTTATAGGAAATTGACAATGTCAGTTTGATTCCAAATACTATTAATCTTTAATTCTACTTGTTCTGCTTTATCATTAATTGAGAACCACCGAAAACATTATTTTTACTGAGTTCCGCGTCGACCGGCGGCTATACGGCTTGCCGACCCCGGACATCCACAATTAAATAATAATAATTAAATAATGACATGCAGTTAAAAAATATAAAAAAAAGTAATAATAAAAGTACCAACTCTTAACTATCTTCATTTACATTTATTTTTTTTTTTTAATGTAGGTATATGACGAATTGTCAAATAAATTAATTGAATAATTGAAAAATTAAAATGATTTAAAACTTTAAATTCGTTTCTGAAATATCTGAAAACGCTTAGATGCTAAAAATACAGAAAAAGCGCATTTATGTTGTAGCTAAGTTATGTACGAAAAATAAAATTTTAGATAATTTAATGTAATTTTTTTCGTTTATTATTCATACACAGGAAAATGTATTAAATCGACAATTATTATTAAAAAAAAAAATAGTATGCACTGAAGAACATCGAAGCCGTTATTGTTTTGTAATTTGGTTAGCTATCTTAAATATTAAGCGTTTTAAAAACTAAATTCGCGTTGCTGGGTACGGCGAAGGAGGATTTCGCCGGACCTGGCACAACATACGTTCCGCCAGGTCTTTGTCTACTACAGTGTACTAGACAAAGAGAACGATGAAATCGTAAGCTGCTACGAAGTCGAAACATCGAGCATAATGCATTCCTGGATACGGCGTGCCGAAATCTCGCCGGCAAACCGTGTTTATCAGCATTTAAAATTAGCAACAAATGCTTTATTTTGTACCTACAATATAATAAAATATATTTTTAATATATATGATCTATCCTAACGTACATTCAAACTTTATTTCTTTTTTTATTTTCTAATTTCAATGCTTACTAAGTATTTTAAAATGACTGGTACGGCGTGGCCGACCCTGCCGCCCCTGACCAGCCGCCCCTGCTAACGACTTTAATAATGCAACTGAAAAGGTAAATAATTCACAGAAAACTACTTTTCTAGCATTTTTTGAGCTTTACAAAACGAATAATTTTGCAAAAATCCTTTTTTATGTTGAAGTCCCTTCATACTATGTGTGGAAAAGTACCAAATTTGAGAGACAAAAACGTGGAAAAAATGTTGATGGTTGGCCGGGAGTCAAAAGCGATCAAACTTTGGGCAGAGTGTACACCGTTCACCCTAATAACGCCGAATGTTTCTACCTTGGTCTTCTTCTTCAAGAAATGAGAGGGCCAACATCATTCTCGGATTTAAAAACTATTGATGGTGTCCCTTATCCCGCATATCACTCATCATGCAAAGCTTTGGATTTGTCAAGTTCAGTCAGAGTGTCAAGAGAGTGTTCATATTATAAATGAAATGTACAAGTGTGTGATTTCCTTTAAAGACACGGTGCTGTCTTTAGGAAGACAATGTTTAAAGTATTATGGTTCGCCTCAGCCTGTAAAACGTGAAGAAGTCATACAAAACAGAGACTATCTCAGAGTGATTAGCTATGACATACTTTTATAGGCACAACGAAAGTTTATTAAATACAGAACAATATCAAATTTACAACCAAGTTTTAGATAGGTCAGGTAAATGTCTGTTTTTACATGGCTGCCTACAATATTAGCGACAAAACTATCCAAATATTTTAACTTTTTTAAAGAAATATCCTTTAATTTAAAACATGACTTTTAATCAAATCGACAAAAGATAACCCAAATTACAAAATTCATGGGACCCTAACTCCAAACTTTCAGTCCTTATTTCACCCACTTAGGGGTAATTGATGCTTACATAACGAAAGGAACCTTCTGTCCAAATTTCGTGTTTCTAGCTCCAGTAGTTATATTAATGAATCAGTTAGCCGAAGGACAAATACTTTTATATATTGTTATTAATGAAGACTTGCACAAACTTAAAAAGTAATAAAATTGAAATCAAAAAATAAATCAGCGGGTCAAAAATAATGTGTCCTAATTGCGAAAACCACGCAAGCGGAGCTGCGGGTAACAGCTAGTAATTAATAAATCTATACATATAAAATTGTTTGTCCTGACTGACTGATTCATCAACGCAGAGCCTAAACTACTGCAGCTAGAAACATGAAATTTGGACAATAGTTTCCTTTTGTGATGTAAGCACCCACTAAGAAAGGAACTTGGGAAATTCCACCCCTAAAAGGGTGAAAAGGGGTGGTGAAGTTTGTACAGGAAGACTATTTCCTAACCATTTCTGTTGTAAATATTTACGTCAAACTTGGTATTAATGCTTTTCAACACAAATAACGAAACACGTATTTCACCATTTTCCGAAATTCAACCCCTAAGGGGGTAAAAAGTGGTGGATAAGTTTGTACGGGAAAACTACTTCTGTTGCACATTTTCACGTGGAACTTGGTATTAATGCTCTTCAACACATATAATGACACACGTATTTCAGCATTTTCCGAGATTCAACCCCTAAGGGGGTAAAAAGTGGTAACTAATTGTGTATGAGAAAAATATTTCTATTGTAAATTTTTGCTTGGAACTTGATATTAATGCTTTTCAACACAAACAATGTAACGTGTCCCCAGTAGCAAGCAATATTTTTCTAATATTTATACAAGATTGATATAATATTAAATGTTGACTAGATATTACAAATATTTTTACAATATTTATTTTATATTTATAAATTTATATATGAATTTCAACATATATTACATATTTATGAAATGTCTTTTTATCAAGATACCGAACAACAAAAATGAAAAAAAAAGTACCATGTTGGGACAACTTGTAGGTAATTTATTTCATAGGATTTTTATTGGAGCAATATTAAAAATTGATTTGAAAAAATACCAGCTATTGTGAAATTGAAACTATTCGAAATCTCGCTTTGCACACTATTAATTGCTCATTAAAAAGTAATATTTTTTTTATTTTTGCGAACAAAAAATAACAATTTTATTCATCATTTTTATAAAACTTAATTAAATTTGCGTTTCACCTACAGATGCGCTTGCTCTGCTGGAACGCGTTTGCGCAATGTGCAACATATACATATTTTCTGTTATTGTTGGTGGTTAAAAAAGTGTTTTGTGTAAGTTCATGGTGTTTGTCCTATTGTGAATTGTGATTATCGGTACTGCGATAAATTCAGAATAGTGTAGTAAATACCGTTTTGTCAAGAAAACAGTACTAAACCTACATAACCTCACTTCTACATGCAATGCAGAAAATGCAATTTCTCAACACGTAACACGTAAGTATATTTAAGAGGTTTATTAATATTTCTGAATATAAGACTATTATTAATGTAGAGACAAAATGATGAATGTTCGGGCGCAACCAAAAAAAAAGAAGAAATCGAGTTAGAAATTGCGGGAGATACGCAGAAATTGAATGAATTGGTAAGCATTTATTATTATTATTATTATTATTATTAACTTACTAGTTAAGTTATAAACTAGTTTCAGACTGATAATAATGTTTATTTGCCAGGAAGAGAAGACGTAAAAAACATGTATGCAATTTTGAAGAAATTATTAATAATGAACCAAATTGCTTTCAAGTTTTCAGGGAAAGGGAAAAAATAAGCTCTCTTTTAGTAAACTCACAATTAACAAGGCTATAATATGTCAAGTTATGTGATTTCTTAAAAATTACGAACTTTGTAAGTTAATTTAATTGTAGGTACCACACGGAAACGTCACAAAAACGCCACAACTACTGAAATTTAAAAAATGGTAGGACCTCATTAAGCGCAGACAAAAGCAAGAATGAATTCTCATCGAAAAAAACATGAGGTATGATTTTTTTTATTTTAATTAATTATATCGCTTTTCAATGAATTGGTTATAGAGCAAATAATTATTAAATAAATATTTCTGTATAACGATTGAAATGTAGCAGAACATTGTTAATTCCATTGACAATGTATTTTTATTTCATTGTAAGTTGGCAGTGTAGTTTTATGTTTAAAAAATTTATTTTGTGTTTCACATCAGGTGATTTTTTAAATTTATGCTCTGGTTGCCCATGAAGCTTATGCCAGCAGTTTCAGTTTCACTGCTGACATAAGTGTCATGGGTAACTACAGCAGAAATAAAAAAAAATCACCTGGTACAAATTTTTAACGAATAGGTTCTAGGACAAATAATTTTTAAATGTATAAATATTGCCGCAACGTTTCAAATACACTGTTATTTCCAGTGACAATGTTTTTTTGTGTTTAATAAATTTTATATTGCATTCCATGCAAGTTTTTTTTATATCCATACCCCCTTTCATATGAAGAACATTTATTAAATGTTCTGAACTAAATAAGTATTAAACATTGAAAATAAATATATATTCAATATTTAAAACCAATATTGATTTTCTAAAAAAAAATCTGTCGTTACCCATATTATTTAAATGTTAGAACTTCAATATTTATTACATATAAAATGTTACTGGGGGTATTTCAGCTGTTTTTGAGATTCTACCCCTAAGAAGATCAAATGAGGTGACAAAGTTTATATGAGAAAAAATATTTGTATGGCGATGTTTAGTTGAAATGTTGTTAACATTTGTTACTTGAAAATTGGTAATCATGTAAAATTGTTTGTCTTGACTGACTGATTTTAATTCTTTTCTGAAATTCATCCCCAACGGAATATAATTTGGGTGGAAATGTGAGAAACAGGAGAAGTAAAGTATTAATTCAAAAGTGTTTAAAAATCTAAGTTTAAAATAGTTAAATATGTTTTTCGCATATTAGACGTGGTAGGATTATTTGAAAAAAATAGTCCTAAGCGTTTGAAATTTAAGAAGTTGTATGGAAATAGGGAGGGCGCGACGTCACCGAGTAAGCGACTGCGACGCGAACGGGGTCTGCGGTCGGACGCATGAGACCAAACGGCGTTGACGGTTGTGTTTTATGTCACGAATTATCAGAATATTTCTCACTTAACTATTCTAATTTTGTGTTCCCGTGTATGAAAGGATGTAGCTGTACCAAAAAAATATCCTCGAATTCTCCTGAAAGAAACCCAAACATGCGAAGACAGCTATCCTCAATACCGGCGAAGAGGTCCCGCGGATGGTGGATTCACGGTTGAATTCCATGGTGTAACCCTAGATAACAGATGGGTGGTACCGTACAATACAGTTTCATCTTGAACTTTTGCTGCTCATATCAACATAGAGTATTGTAACTCTGTAAAATCTATTAAATATATATGCAAATATGTTCATAAAGGATCCAACCAGGATTATTTGGTCTTGAAAATGACAATGATGAGGTCAAATTATATGAAAGTGGTCGATATATTAGCAGCTTTGAAGCTGTCTGGAGAATGCTGGCCCTTTCCTATACATGAACAATTTCCAGCGGTTTTTCATCTCACAGTGCATTTGAAAAATGGCCTGCTCTCTATTTTAATCCTAACGACTTTAATAATGTAACTGAAAAGGTAAATAATTCACAGAAAACTACTTTTCTAGCATTTTTTGAGCTTTGAAAAACGAATAATTTTGCAAAAATCCTTTTTTATGTTGAAGTCCCTTCATACTATGTGTGGAAAAAAAATTTGAGAGACAAAAACGTGGAAAAAATGTTGATGGTTGGCCGGGAGTCAAAAGAGATCAAACTTTGGGCAGAGTGTACACCGTTCACCCTAATAACGCCGAATGTTTCTACCTTGGTCTTCTTCTTCAAGAAATGACTCATTCTCGGATTTAAAAACTATTGATGGTGTCGTTTATCCCACAAGTCATCATGCAAAGCTTTAGGTTTGTCAAGTTCAGTCAGAGTGTCAATAGAGTGTTCAGATTATAAATGAAGTGTACAACAAGTGTGTGATTTCCTTTAAAGACACGATGCTGTCTTTAGGAAGACAATGTTTAGAGTATTATGGTTCGTCTCAGCCTGTAAAACGTGAAGAAGTCAGACAAAACAGAGACTATCTCAGAGAGATTAGCTATGACATACTTTTATAGGCACAACGAAAGTTTATTAAATACAGAACAATGTCAAATTTACAACCAAATTTTAGATAGGTCAGGTAAATGTCTGTTTTTACATGGCTGTCTACAATATTAGTGACAAAAATATCCAAATATTTTAACTTTTTTAAAGAAATATCCTTTAATTTAAAACATGACTTTTAATAAAATCGACAAAAGATAACCCAAATTACAAAATTCACGGGACCCTAACTCCAAACTTTCAGTCCTTATTTCACCCACTTAGGGGTTAATGGATGCTTACATTACGAAAGGAACCTTATGTCCAAATTTCGTGTTTCTACCTTCAGTAGTTATGCTGATGAATCAGTCAGCCGAAGGACAAATACATTTATACATACATTGTTATTAATGAAGACTTGCACAAACTTAAAAAGAAATAAAATTGAAATCAAAAAATAAATCAGCGGATCAAAAATAATGTGAGAAATTGAGAAATCCACGCAAGCGGAGCTGCGGGTAACAGCTAGTACATTATAATAGTAATTCACTAACTACTTACTTCCACATTCCATACGTTATTTTTGCTACGATCGATAATTTGAGAATAATATTGACAATGACATTATATGTAGGTAGCAAAAATAACGTATGTAATGTGGGAGTAAGTAGTAAGTGAATTACTATTATAATATAATTATTAATTATTATAATAGTATTCCTTGCAATTTTTTTTAGTTTACTTGAGATTTTTCAAAGTTCTTGTTCGTCTTCTTCAAGTTATTTGAGATATTTTCCCCATTCCTGCATTCTTCTAATGTTGCTGAATTTCTTTGTTTAATGGCTGTTTGTCTATAAGTTCTTGAGTTCTTTTAACAGTATTTTTATTTTTGTTGGACTTTCTTTGGTTATTTGTGCTCGGCTTCTTGATCATTGTGGAGGATTTTTTGTGCGCGTTTTGAATTATGTCGTTCTGTGGTTGGATTTGTACTTCCCGAGCGTAAGCTACGGAAGTTTTGTGATCGGGTTCATCGGGCGACTGGTTACTTTCATGATTTCTCGACGTTTCGCGACCGCCAAAGTACGAGAAAATAAGTCCCCGGTTCCGTCTGTGTCAATTTTTATGACACAGACAATCTCAAAACTACCGGACCGATTGTTGTCGTATATTAATATGGTGTAGATCGTATAAAATGCTAACCAAAATTTGCCTAATCACCTCCATCAACAATGTAATGACGTCCCCTTAAAATTATTCATAGTATGTAGGATTTAAATTTTATAAAAGACATAGTCTTGTACTTATAGTTTATGAATCCGCCTTGAGGTTTTCCCTAGGCATCCATATTTTCGCGAAGATCCCGCACGTTCGATTATGGGCATTTTTATTTTTTGTACTGTTCCTGCTATTATTTATATTTTATATTAATCAAATCATGAGCGGTGCGCTTCGTTGTTTTAGTGGTACGCTGTACGTGTCCAGAATTTACATACGTGTTGTTATAATCTGTTTTGTCTCTTTTCTAAGGATCTGGATTTGTGTCATTTAGACGCCATTACGGTTCTCTACTAACTGTATTTGTTCGTTCCATAAGGTAGGCAATTACATGTATGGTGAGCTGGTTGCCTACCTTATTTACCTAACATCTTTCCCCTTAAAAATAAAAAAAGAAAAAACATATTTCTCTTAACGTAAAGAAAATTAAAACTTAAAGATTAAGCCGCTCCGGCTGGACTATAGGTCGGCCGCTTCTGGTTTTGTATCGTTCATGTTGTTCTGGTTCTAACACAGTTGGTGTTTCACTTGTTTCACATTCACTAGCACTGTCTAATTCTATATAACATCTTAGAGGTTCTTCTCTTTCCTCTTTCCTTTCACAATGAATTTTATTATAAGTTAGGTTGGGTAATGAACGGTTTTGCATGTACTCATTGCATTTGATAAATTTTCGGTTTCTGATCAAGCATGCGCCATTGTCCAACCTAATTTTGTACGTCCTATCTCTAAGTTTACTTATGACTATTCCAGGTGTCCATGTAGAATTTGGTTTCGTTTGTACATACACATTACAGTTTACAGGAAGATCACCTAGTTTTTTGGTTTTATATTTATTAAAATATTCAGCTTGAACTGCCTGCTTTTGCTTTATTGTTGATGAATTATATTGTGAGGCTACTTTAGGTGTGTGTTTTTTTACTGTCGTTGGAATTAATGTGCGTAATTTACGTGACATCAAGATTTCGGCTGGCGAGACATTCTCAAAAATGGGCGTGCTTCGATATTGCAAGAGTGCCATATATATCTCTTTTTTATCATGCAAATTTTTTTTAAAGATGTTTTTGGCTGTCTGAACATTTCTTTCAGACATTCCATTTGATTTAGCATGAGTTGGTGAAGAAACAATATGTGCAAACTCCCATTCTTTGCAAAAATGATCAAATTCTTTGGATGTATACTGTGTTCCTCCGTCTGTTACTAACGTTACTGGAATTCCATGTCGTGAAAACACAGATTTCATTTTGTTTATGATGTTATTACTAGTCATATTTTGACTGAGATTTTCGATTTCGATGTATTTTGAATAGTAATCAATTAGAAGAAGATACTTGTTTCCATTATACTCGAAAATATCTGAGCCTACTTTATTCCAAGGTAGTATTGGTATTTCATGACTTTTGAGAGGCTCATTACTCTGGGATTTAGAGAAATGTAAACATGTATGGCAACTAAGAACACGTTGAGTAATTTCGTTGGTCATCGTAGGCCAAAAGACTGAATCTTTCGCCAGTTTTAAACATTTATTCACGCCTAAATGACTGTAATGGATTCTCTCTATCATGTCTTTGCGCATTTTATATGGAATAACGAGAGACTGACCTTTGTAAATTAAATCGTCAATAACAGTTAATTCGTGTTTGTATTTGGCGTACTGTTTGATTGTATGACTTGCACGTTTAAGATTTTTCGGAAATCCTTCTGTTATCGCGTGTTTTAGTTCCAGCATTTCTGGGTCATTTTGAATGGCTTCTTTAATTTGATTAATTTTTTCTGGAGTAGCATTAATCTGAGTTTGTATTAGAAACACATGAGCGTCAATTTCCTCCTCTATTTCATCTTTTTGTGTATTGTCAGTATACGTAGCTCGAGATAGCGCGTCCGCTAAGAGCAAATATTTGCCTGGTTTGTAGACTAAATTAATTTCATATTTTTGTAACTGTAATAACATTCTCTGTAATCTCGCTGGGCATTTATTTAATGGCTTTTTAAAGATAGAGATAAGAGGTTGATGGTCCGTTTCGACAGTTACCTTTTTGCCATAAACGTAGTCATGAAATTTTGTTAGACCAAAACAGATTGCCAGGAGCTCCTTCTCTATTTGTGCGTATCTTTGCTGAGTCTCGGTCATTGTTTTGGAAGCATATGCACACGGAAGACTGTTTTGCAAAATTACCGCCCCCAGTCCGTTTTTAGAACTGTCTACTGAAACTGTAACATCTTTATTTACATCATACAACTGTAAAACTGGTTTTGACGTTAGAATTTTTTTTATCTCTGTAAATGCTTTTTCCTGGTGACTTGTCCACTCGAAATTTACTTCTTTTTTAATTAAGTCTCGCAAGGGTGAGGTTTTTGTTGAAAATTCTGGAATGAATTTACTAACGTATGTTAACATACCTAACAAACGCTGAACGTCCTGCTTTGAAGTTGGCTGCGGCATGTTCAAAACTGCCTCGATTTTAGAATTATCGGGTTCAATACCTCTCCCGGAAATGTAATGTCCCATGTATTTGAGTTTTGCCACCCCAAATTTGCATTTATTTTGATTGAACTTGACATTGTTTTCTTTTGCAATTTGTAACACCGCTTGCAATCGTGCATCGTGTTCTGCTCTGTTTCGACCCCAAATGATTATATCATCGATATACACTTCTACTCCTTCTAAATTAAAAATTGATTTGAATTTTGTCTGAAACACTTCTGGTGCTGATTTAATTCCATATGGAAGTCGAAGAAATTTGTATCTTCCAAACGGAGTTCCGAATGTACACAAATCCGAACTCATTTTGTCTAGTTGTATTTGATAAAACCCGTTTGTTGCGTCTAGACTACTGAATACGGTAGCACCTGCTAATTTACTTGTTATTTGCTCTAAAGTTGGTATCGCACAATATTCCCGCTTTATGGCACGATTCAGGTCTTGTGGATCTAAACAGATACGTAATTTTCCATCTGGTTTCCGTACTACCACTAGTGCATTTACCCAATCTGAGGGACCGTCAACTTTCTCAATAACGTTATGTGCAATTAATTCATCTAGAGTTTCTTTTAACTGATTTAATATTGGCAATGGAACTCGCCTTGTCGCATGTACGACTGGTTTGGCGTCAGGCAATAGCTGGATGTGGTGTTCCCCGTGAATACACCCTATTCCTGAGAATACTGTCTCGAATGGTCCCAAAAATTCTCTGTAATTCGTGGAAATAATTTCATTTGAATTTAAGAAATTGATACGCTTAATTAATTCCAGCTTTTCGCACGTTTGCAAACCCAAAATAGCCTGCTCACCTGAACTAACAATAAAAAAATCTATTAAGTAATTGACATTATTTTTGTTGCACTTTAACCTACAAATTCCTAATACATTTAGGTAATTTCCTGTATAGGACTTTAATTTAACACTTGTCTTTCGTATTTCTGTCATTGGCATTTTCAATGATTTGAATAAATCTAAAGGAAGGACGTTAGCCATTGCGCCCGTATCAACTTTGAAATTAATAAACTTGTCTTTTAATTTTAATTTTGTAAACCATCCGTCCTTAGAATTATTCTGTTGTGTGAGTGTACCTATAAACAAACAGTTTCTATCATTTTCTATGCTTTTATCAATTGCGTTAACAGCCTTTTGTTTTGGTAAGTTTACACATGCAAGCTTCTTTCGACACACTGATGCAAAATGGTTTTTGTTTTTGCAGAAATTACAAAATTTGCCGTAAGCTGGGCACTTATTTATAGGATGATTTCTACCACACTTACTGCAGTTCGAGATCTGACCTTGCTTCACTTTCTTGTCCTTTGACTTACGGATGACATCCAGCGGAACCTCCTTGTTTTCTATAGCCACTGTGCGCTGCTTTGATGTTTCGATGGCCAAACACAGATCTATAGCCTTTTGTAATGAGAGAGAGTCGTCCTGGAGGAGTCGTTCCCTCATCGTCGAGTTAGTCACCCCGCAGATTATCATGGATTTGATTAGAGAGTCCTCGAGAGTGTCGAATGCACATTTCTGAGCCTGCTTCTTCAATTCTGTGACGAACTGTTCAAAAGCCTGGTTTCCTTGCTGCCTGTACGAGAAGAATTTATAGCGCTCGTATGACAAGTTTTCCTTTGGTACGAAATGAGCTTCGAATTTTTCCATTAAAACTGAGAGTTTACCAGCTTCACCATCAGCGAACTGGAATGTAGTGTATATTTTGAAACCCTCTTCTCCAATGTAGTGTAGCAGTTGTGCACACTGAATTGTTTGATCCTTCTTGGACACTTCAGAGGCTGTAAGATCATTGTTGAAACGACTTCGCCACGTGGCCCAATTTTCCGCCAAATTTCCTTCCATTCTCATGGGTGCTATTCCTCGCTGTTCACCCATCATTGCTCACTGTACTACACTCACCGCAATGTAGATTCGTTATTTGACTATTTATCCATCGACTGCGCCATGTTATAATCTGTTTTGTCTCTTTTCTAAGGATCTGGATTTGTGTCATTTAGACGCCATTACGGTTCTCTACTAACTGTATTTGTTCGTTCCATAAGGTAGGCAATTACATGTATGGTGAGCTGGTTGCCTACCTTATTTACCTAACACGTGTCCTGGTTGAAATGTTGATCAGACATTTTTAATTGGGACAATTACTTGAAATGTGGACAAAGCCTTGCACTTTATCAATTCAGTTATATTTTTGGAGCAATTGTTAGTCTGTTTCCAATATTCCAATCATGGGTGGATGTACACTCTAACCCATAATATACATATAAACAAGTAAACAAAGTGTGTTTTCGCAACATAATGCCTTCGAATCAAAGACAGTGGCGAAGTATGGGTGATTAAAGTAAGAATGATACATTAATGAATTATTATAATTTTGATTTTTAGGTAATTTTTTTTTCATTCAAAATAGGTATATTCAACCCCTCCAAAATGTCCTCTATGCAGAAGGGCGTTCAACGAAACCGATGATACTGAAAGAAAACAATATCACAAAAATTCAAATTCTCTAGTGCGTCAACAGAGGTGAGGATTGGGTAGGTTTGGCAACAACATTGGGTCTAAGTTATAAGACTGCTTACCACTGGGTGAGATCTGGACGGGAGATCATGAACCCAAAACGAGGTATCAAACCCAAAATCCTCAACGAACAACAAATTGGAGAAATTATTGAATGGGTTGAAGACGAATGCGACCTAACTTATTAAAGCAGGTGCAAGGCAAAGTATTGCAAAACTGGTATATGAATGTCAGTATCTACAATAGGAAACTACCTTGAAGGTAAAATTTTCACAGTGAAAACCAACAAGTATGAACACTCCAGAAAATAAAAGAAAACGCGCCCAATACGTTCAAGAATTAAATAGACTTATTGCTGAGGGAAAGCAGATCGTTTGAATGGACGAGACAAACTTTAATCTATTTTGTCGGCGCACAAGGGGGCGGTCACGAGCTGCTATAAGAGCTGTGCAACGACTTCCCGCGGCTAGAGGTCCAAATGTGCATTTAATCGGGGCAGTTTCAGCTACGGGTGTCGTTTGAATCGAGCGGAGACGAAGCTCATTTACAGCAGTGCTTGCAAATGCGTGGACAACCCGACTCCTCCAGGAACGGCAAGAGAGGCTAGGAAACCAAATCTCCAATTTGGTTTCCTAGCCTTTTTTTTTTGTCTGTGACAATGCTCCTTGCCATTCATCATTGGAAGCGGTTATAAATGGTACGGGAGCAACTCTATTGAGGTTGGGACTGTACTCGCCCATGTTAAACCCAATAGAAAACATATGGTCAACAATAAAATTGTATGCAAAAACACACCTTCGTACTCCTGACGTGGCTGGTCTAGGTGTGGTAGAACAACGACTTCAACATCTGGAAGAAGTAATTGATGTTGCAAAAGAGACAGTGACGGGTGGTGATTGCACGCGAGCTGCACAACACAGCACTGTTCATCATGGTGCAGCTTTAGCGTTAGCAAATATGGTAGTCGGCCGTTAGTTTTTCAGTTTCAATTATTACATTTTCTTCAGTTCTTGTAGCAATGTAGGCTATAATTTGTGGTTGTTGTTGTTGTTTTGTTGTTATTGTTGGCTGTTCTGGTTTTCATTGTTATTGTTATTTTTAAATAAAACAAACGCGATTACTTTGTATTGATTATTATTTTTACATGTAAAGCAGAATTTAAAATAAAAAATACAAAATCTGATTTTCATTCATATGCTTTCTGAATTACAACTTACGCTTTCTGTATTCAAAAATGTGTATTTTATCTAAAACATCCGTGATCATTCTGTCGAACTCTTCCCTTGATATCAGATCGAAAAAAGATAGTGGTTCCTCCTCTTTCTCCGCTGTGTTTTGTGCAGGAATTATCGTGGGTGCAACCCTCTGACTTGCAGGAAGTGAAATTTCTCTTTCCGTTGATCTATGTTGTGATCCAGATCTTAAACCGTTTCCATCATATGATTTATGCTTATAATTACTACGTTCTAAGCTCGGTCCCTTAGAACTGCATGGAACTGTATTCATTATAGAACCTTTAAAAACATAAAAATTATAACACACCTTACTGAAAAAGCTGCAGAATATAGCGAACACAGCGCTCATTTTCACAATTCTAAACGCCACCAAAATTCATTTAATATAATAATGGGGAGATGGGATTGTGGTGCACTGAACGTATGCAAGAAAGCAATACTCACTTGAAGGCCGTCTTTCGGTATCGATACGTTCAAGAGCTGTATGTACGTACATGTTAGTTGGGTCGGTTTTAATGTTAGAACCTTTGCTCCAGTTGCCAAACATCTGTCGGCTCCCCAACGGTTCATCGGTTTGTGGCTGCAATTTAACAATAAAATAACACAAAATATATAATTACAAAATTATTAATCTTACAGGCTTGTTTTTTAACTTATCACTTTGGACAGTAAATGGCATCCTATTTCTAGAAGCAGTAGTCTGCCAACCAACATCTGAAACGTTTCTTCTATTCCTATCTGAATTAGCACCAGCACTGCTACCTCGATCATCTTTTCTAGCAGTCCTTGGTATTGAATTCTTCACCTGAATATTCAATTGTTCATTTTTTGCTTCCTTCTGTATTTGATCTATGGTTTTAAGATTTAAATCTTGGCAGCGTGGCACCCACTTATTTTTCCTAAGATCTATCACATCTTGTAGCATAAATCTGAAAATACGAGATTACAGACGACCAATTATACTACACTGTATACCTACCTAACCCTACTACTAATTCTTCCGAATTTTTTGTCGACAATATCTTTCATCGAGTTAAAAATAGGACTTAAATTGACCTCTCTCTCTAGTTCTTTACCGATTGTTGTCAATAACTTACATAAACATTCTAAATTTTCTTCATCTTTATTGTCTAACAAGTTATCCAAACATCTCATCATTATGTTGGTTGTCAGCATCTGCTGCTTAAATAGTTCACCTAAAAATCAAAAAAGCGTCACTACGTACCGTCATACTTGAGAAAGACGAGTTAATAGTTTTTAATTGATCAGACACGTATTTTCTTTCCTAGAAATCGGTCCACTACGTTCATTTACGACATCATCTTAATTACGTATGCATACAATCAGTATTTTTTTTGCTTCTCTTACCTATAAACCGAATAATTCCGACTGACTTCATTCGCAACCGACGGTCATATTCTTCTAGTTCAAATTGCAGCTCCTTCTTCTTTTCCTACAAAAATTTCATTATACACAATTTTTTTCATTCTCGATTTAGCTTACAAAGTCGGAACATTCTTTAATTTCTTTAACTTTATCATTCCTAATTGTTTCATCATACGATTGTTTCTCAAATTCCAATTGACACCTTGTCATCAACAATTTACGAAATTGAACACATTCTTTTTTATGTTCAGTACTGTTGGCAGCAGGTACCTGTTTAATCAATTTTTGTACAAATGCAAAAAATTACCTACAAATATGTACACACCTGCGTAAGAGCCAACTTCTTACACATCAACGCATACGCAACCGAAAAATTAGATTCGTTCACAGCTTTCTCGACCACCATGTCGACTACTTTTTGTAACTGTTCTTCTGTATCAATTTGTAAGTCTCCTACTTGACTAAATAACAGTTCGAATTTCCGGGGAGTTAATTTATTGAGCACTCTTCTGATTTTTTTATATAATTCTTCAGCTCTTCTTTCATCGTCAGACATATTATCATCCTTCCTAAACCGTGCAGGTCTCCAAATATTTTTCACTTCATGCAGTTTGACATCTTCCCTGATAGAAATCGACGTTTTGATAACTTGAGGTTTCCTCTTTTTACCCCCGCCGCCACCGACTTTACTAGATTGAGGATTACGTTTTGGGGGTGGCTAGAATATAAACGTTAACAATAAAAATCAACAATGCCAAATGACGCTTACGCCTCTTTGCGAACTAGATTTACCCACGTAATTTGGAAAAGGTGGATTTGCAAAATCAGTTCTACCTCCCATGGAATATCTCCCATCACCAAGTCTCTGCAAAAAATACGAACACATGTCACATATGCGTTCAATTTAACAATAAGAAACTTAACTGCAACACCATCAGGCAAGTTGTCTGGTTTTTTTCTGCTAGCGGGACTGTTCCTTAGAGATAATAAAAATTCCTTGTCATATACTTTCTTCCTGTCTAAATTGTGAGGAGCCCATTGGCCTGTAACAACGACATTACTAAATGCCATGCAAATAAAATCGCAACGAATAATTTGATAGTCAGCAACGAGGAATTCCAGCTTTATTTCAATCACGGTTAATAAGAAAGCTTGTGATATTCCATCTTTTGCGTTCTTTTAAGGAAATTTTTCTACACTTACCTTCTGGATATGGTAAACCAGTTTTGATTTCTATGATGGCCGATGTATTGTTTTCAGAGTTAGCTTTGGCGTTCTCTTCGTCTTCAGCTTGCACAAGCTTACCATTGCTTATAGACGCCGCTTTGTCGATTTCGTCTTGTGTTTCGATTTGTTGCGGAAAACATTTGATTGGTTCTGGCTATTCTGATTCGACTTGTTAGCTTCGTTTGTAGGAACTAGATTGTTGTTTGTATTGTTTTCGAAAAAATTTGTGCCGATTTCACTTATGGTGCTGATGTTAACACTGCCGGCGACATCCATATTAGCAATGTTTGTCGCAAAAATCGAGTCTGTTTTATTGTTAGAACCTTTGCTCCAGTTTTAAAATATATATATCGGTTCCCCAACGAGGTTCGTCGGTTTGTGGCTATCGCCACCGACTTTATCACAGCGAGTATAGAATTTGGAGGTGCCTATAATATTAAACATCATTGGTACGTATTGAATTCATCACTACTACCTACTTGTGTCTTCAGGACACACGCTTTCTATTTGTTAAAAAATAGTTTTAATAAAAATATTGGTACAACAGATGAAATATCAACTAGTTTAAAATTGTTAAATACACTTATTACAAACGCTAAGCGACCACAAGAAAAAAAAGATAGTTTGTAATATGTCTACTCACTGGTAAGAAAATATGAAAGTGTTCTAGAAGACTATGGAAATCCCCTAAACCTTGGGTAAAAATGGAAAGCGGTATCAATAAAAAAGACATCATAAAAGAATATTCTCAAAAATTAGTCGAAGAATAGAATATTACAGTTACTCAAGTTGCGTTACCCTTATCATTTATAATAATAATCGATCATCTGGGAGAGCGTAGTACCTAAATACATGTTACTTACACTACAACGTCAAGAAATTCACAATAATACACTCCAGAAGGCCAAAATATTGGATTAACTTCAAAACAAGAAGAACCCACTTTATAGTGGTTTCAAACCGAAGCTATACAAGCAGTTAGAAAATTTCGTAAGATATTTATTAATTGTTTTGTGTTACCCGGTATAAGTAATATTAAAAACTATGAATCATTGACCACACTACCTCACAAGTAATAATAATATTTTGTGCATTTTAGAAAGGAGGTTATTAAAATCTGCTTTCAGTGTATTAATCGCAATATTTTATATTATTTGATGTTTATTCTCTAGGAATTTATTTAAATCTGTGTGGTTGATGCAGAAAGATTGTTGGTCACACGTCAAAGACAAAGTAACGGAGTTTAAATATTTTACAACTCAGTAGTAATAAATATACCTAAATACAGTATAATCTCACTAATCCGGCACTATTAAAAACCGGATTATTGGAATGTTCGGATTACTGGATTATAGTGAAAAAGTCATAGGTAATGAATAAAATAAAGCATTTCATAGAGGGCAGACCGAAGCGCAAAGGTGTAGAGGGGCGAGGGAGGCGTGGGCGGAGGGTGCCGGATTATTGGACATACTGATCTATCGAAGTGCCGGATTAGTGAAATTATACTGTAATAAACAATTTTTTTTTTAACTTTTTACACAAATAACACATTGACAAGACACAGATGGAAATTTACCGTCAATAACTGCGACGCATGTAGGTACCACAAAGAACAATCAATCACTTTCTAAAACAATCTCCAATCACTCGTTTTCTTTCCGAAATAGAGTAATTCCCTGCTTTTATCCGTGACTAAAAAAGCGAAGAAAAAAAACAATAGCTCGCTGCACGGTTATCAGCATTATCTTATCACCGTATGGAGAAAAGTACCGCCTTGATCTTACTTTGATAATTCAGAAAATTATTGTCTAACCACCCAATATAGTGTGTTTTTTAAATTTCGGTTCTAGTTGGCTATGACGTTTACGTCAGCAGTGAAGTTCAAATGACTGACGTAAGTGTCATGGCCAACTGGAACAGAAATTTAAAAACAATCATCCGAAACAATGTTACTAGGCCTTTGACAACTTTTTTGTGGATACAAACAAAAAATAATGAGAAATCATATTCATCCGTCAGCATGCACCGAAAGCAAAAAAAAAATATTTGGTAGTTTCGTGAAATGGGTAATTTAGAAAAAAAAAAAAATATATTTGGTATATAACTAGTATGTAAGCCTGATTAGAATTAGATCTCGCACCAAAAATCGCATGTCACCAGTAAGTTTATTTATGTTTAGGGATACAAATCTAAAAAATATTTATCATTAATCAAGCCACTCTACGTTTAGTTCTGTATATAGCTTAATTTTAAAAGTTAGGGGGAGATTCTCGAAACCCGATAAGGCCTTGCAAGGATCTGCAAATTCAAAACCATAGCAACATGTATTGTTGTTGCATTGTATGTATTTGCAGTTTCGATAGCGATTTGCAAATTATTATCGGAGTTTCCAGAATCTCCCCCTTACTTTTTATCTGATAGGACTTATATAGCAACAATATATGTATTTAAAAAAATAAGTATCTCGTTTGAGATGAAAGGTCGAACACTGTAATGATGATCATTCCAAATCGATAAAGCTGGATATCGGATCAGAAATAATAAACACAAAACATTCGTTTTGTGCAGCTTTTAAGACTTAAATTATCATTCATTTCAACAGTATGGCTGGTGCCGGGGGGTACAAGGACACGTGCCCCCCCAAAATTACAACGTCTACAAACACACTGGACATAGCAAAATAGTAGTTTTCAATATTTAAAAAATTATCCGAAAATTTGTGTCATAATTATGAAAACTAATTTTTTTATCCCGCTCCACTTGTATAAAATGTATCAAAACTTACTTCCACTTACATCTAAAGATGTGTCTTGGACATATGATATGTTATTTCTGATGAAATGCTGATCAAAGCCGGGAACAGAGACCGAATCACGGCTGATGTAGACGTTTTGTTTAGTCGCTTGATTCACCTGGACTGGCGGTCCCATTCCGACATTGCTCGGCAGGATTGAGTTACTATCGCAGGTTTTAATTGGAACACGTATGATAAATATTCTTGGATAATCTTTTTGGTAATACAGACATTCGGAAACAACTACACATCGCTTACATTAATAATATTCGGGCACGCGGACATGACGAAAGTAGGAAATCACAAACTCCAGGTATATCTCGAGGTCTGATTGATTTTACGGCTGAATTGGACTCTGCTTTATCAAATCATTTGAAAGAAGTAACGGTTTTTGAAGAAACGCCTAAAACTGTCCAAAATGAACGTAAAATTTTGACCAAAGGCAAAAAGGTATGTGGAGAAATCCTTTTTTATTTTTATTGAATGTATTTTTGTATTTATTTCCGTCACATGATTTCGTCTATTAAATGGTAATTTCAACCTGTTTTATATCTTCATATTTAACTCATCAATCAAATTGTGTCCCCCCATTTCAAAAGGTCACGAGCTGCCACTGGTCATTACTGAAATTGAAATACACTTATCGAGAAAATAAAATTATTAAACAAATTTGTTACCAATTTCGCTAGCTTCTTTAGTTTTGCAGATTTATTTTCCATCTTTCTTCCTTCCATTACATGGAACTGTTTCACTCGCATCTGAATAAAATAATGTAGCAAATATGCTGTCACTAAGTTTGTCGAAGTGATCTGAGGTTCTTTAACAGATGGTATTTCGATTTCATTATTTACAACTTTTCGGACAACTGGTTCCCTTCTTTTTTGCTGATTTTTGTTAAATGTTTAGGATAATTTTTGAAAACAGTGGGTACTGAGTCTTCCTTCAATTTAGGTCTCAAATGTGGGATCATTATCTACTTAATCACAGAAGAGTTCATTAATATTTATAATAACTATTCACAATGCTTACCGAGAACGAACTTCTTTTACTGTTGGTTCAATAACAACACTAATGGTCCGCCACTGACTCGTCCATACCCTTCGCCCATCTAAGCGCTTCGCGCATTCACCCCCCCCCCCCACTGGATGTACTCCTGATTTCAAATAAGCTCTACACAACTGGCACATCACATTGTTCCAAAGTCACTAATATAGGGAATTTGACAATGTTCGCTCAACAATCAGTGACATTATTTTGTTGGGAAATATATATATATATATATATTTCCAACATAAACATCACGATTTTTTCAAACACAAAAAAATAAAACTGTATAAATAAAAACTAAATCTAAAACAAGTTTATTATATCAATTTTACATATATCTATTATCATTAACTTCTTGTGGTGCTAGATAATTCCTTTCTAAACATCAATATAGTACATATACAATAAATTCTCAGATTTTTACTTTTTGAATTTGCAGAGTTGTGTACGGTAATCAATATGATCATCAAACATTCACTCATAAGTTACCATTCTTGGTAAACAGGGTGAAGGGATAGTTACTTATACATATTTTTCAACTGTACAACAATAATTCGAAAATTCGTCCAAATTTTTCTTGATGAGTCTTTCTAACTGTTCCTCTGACATCTTATATTCCAAAGAAACTGGTCCTCTTCCTCCATCTTCATTTTCTTTCAGTTGTATGAAGAAACTCGTCAATTGTTTCAATGTAACACCTGCAATTCAAACTTGGGAGTACAACTCTGAAAGCAATGAAAATTTACCTTTGCCTTCCTGCTCCGCAGGATCGTCGCTGGCTTCCCATGCAATGAAGCTATGTTGAGAAATGACGGAGTCTTCATACAACTGATTGCAAATTGTCAAAAGAAGACCTAAAGAAACATAATTAGTATATCAAATGGACAATGTTAAACATAATGTGAAGTACTTTGATAAACGCTAGATGAAAACACCGGCAAAAGTACCTCAGTTTAATTTTCACAGTACTGTCTTCACGACAATAATAGTGAAAATTATTGTGTGCTGCATGACTGTGACTTTTAGTAGTTCATTAGAATACTGACCTTTCGGATGTTCCATTTTGTGAATTAAAGCTTGTAACGCGAACAGACATTGCAACTCATAAACTGGATTATTATCAACGTATTTTTGAAGTAACTTGTAGTGGTTTTTCAAATTGTCTGCAACTAATTTTTGACGGCCAATGGAGTTTTCAAAAATGGTCGTAACTAAGGTCCTAACAAACTTATTTCCATTAACTAACTCCCCTACGTTAACCTATTAAAAAAAAAAATGAATAAGCGCACGTCATAAAATAAACCGACGATCTTACTGTTATCCAATTGACAATATCATCGGACGAAGTTTTCATGGAAAAGAATTCTAATAGCTTGCAGGAAATTTGATCATACGTTAATTGGCTGTGACCTGCAGCTGTATCACCCCCACATAGAAAATCTAATTTCTGTAATAAAAACACGTGTTTGTTGAGCTCTGTCATACATTGTTTTTGTTTTTTATCATGTCGCTCAAGTAGTGTATTTCGTTAATTATGTAAATAAATTAAGAAATATAGCGAACTTAGGCACTGATTTTCACAATACTAAACGCCACTATAATTAAGTTACAATTATGTGGAGCTGAGATTCTGAATTTCTAAATGATAAATTTTATACTTACATTTTCTCTTAAGAATGAGTTAACCTGTTTTATATCCATAAAACTCTCGACGCGAAGTCCAGAAGTTTGCCAACAGCTAATGAGAAAATTGGGTCCCTTTTTACTTACAACTAACTTAAATAATGTCCCTAACAATTTCGGACCGTGACCCTGCTTGATAATTACAGGACATGATTGATGTAGCCTGTGCATAGACAGAGCTTCTTCACAGATCAAATGAACTACAAACAAACATATAGCTAAATAAAAAGTTGACATGTTACATGCATAAACAGTTACCTAAGATCTCGGCCAGATAAGTCCATATCATGGGAATATCAATGGTCAGTTCATCTACATGATTCAGCACATCTTCTAAGGCTTTACAATAGACTTCTAAGGGAAGCGTGCCTATTTTAATTAATTTGGCGAATAGCATTCCTGTTCTAAGTCGCGCGGTTTGTGATCTCTCTAACACATGCAGATATCTGCAAAAAAAAAAAAATATATCGCTCATTTAAAGATATAAACAATTTTTAGCGATATGAAGACTACAATACAAACCACTTTAAAATATGCATTACAAGTACATTTTATACTGTAAGAAGGGCACTATCAAACCCCACTCATTGAATCGTTTAAATTCTTGTGGTGCTAGCGAATCCTTCATAAACATCAATATAGCAAAATAAACTAACAAATTTTCACTTTTTTAATGAGAATTTGCAATGAGTTGTGCAGAAGAATTAGTATGATCGTTTAACACTCACCCATCAGTTACCATTCTCGGTAAGTAGGCAGGGGGCACAGTTGCTTGGGTATCTTGACTATATTCTTCGACTGTACAGCTGTCGTTCAAATATTCGTCCAAATTATTCTTAACGTGTCTTTCCAACTGTTCCTCAGACATCTTATATTCTGAAGCAACTGGAGTCCTCTCCTCTTCCTCCTCTGCTTTCTGTACAGGAATTATCGTGGGTGCAACCTTCTGCGTTGCAGGAAGTGAACTTTCTCCTTCTGTTGATCTATGTAGTGATCCAGATCTTGAACCTCTTCCATCATAGGACTGCTGCTTATAATTACCACGTTCTAAGCTCGGTCCCTTAGAACTGTAGGGATCCTTATTGGTTCTCGAACCTTTAAAAACATAACAGTTACAGCATATCCTACTAAATCTACATAGTTAAAATAGAAAGCTGTTGCTGTGTAGTGTATAGCTGTACTTATTGATAAAACTATAGAATATAGCGAACACAGCGCAAATCTCCACAATAATAAACGCCACCAAAATTCATTTTATGTAATAATGGGGAGCTGGAATTGTGGTACACTGAATGCACGTTAAAAAAGCAATACTCACTTGAAGGCCGTTTTTCGGTATCGATATGTTCAAGAGCTACATGCGTGTTAGCAGCGTTTGTTGCTGAAGATGGGTCAGTTTTAATGGTAAAAACTTTGCTCCCGTTACCAAATATCAGTCGGCTCTCCAACGGTTCGTCGGTTTGTGGCTGCAATTTAACAATCAAAATAAAACAAAATAATTATAAAATTCTTAGATCTTACAAACTTGTTTTTTAACTTATCACTTTGGACAGGCATCCTATTCCTAGAAGCAGTAGGCTGCCAACCATCATCTGAAACGTTTCTTCTCTTCCTATCTGAATTAGCAACAGCACTGCTACCTCGATCATCTCTTCTAGGAGTCATTGGTATTGAATTCATCGCTTGAATATTCAACTGTTGAGTTTCTACTTCTTTCAGTATTTGATCTATGGTTTTGGGATTTAAATTTTGGTGACGGGGCACCCACTTATTTTTTCTAAGATCTATCACATCTTGCAGCATAAATCTAAAAATACGAAATTAAAAACGACCAATTACACCATACTGTGCACCTGCCTAACTCTACCACTAATTCTCCCGAATTTTTTGTCGACAATATATTTCATCGAGTTAAAAATAGGACTTAAATCGACCCCTTTCTTATTCGTTCCCCCTCTCTCTAGTTCTTTACCAATTGTTGTCAACAACTTACACAAACATTCTAAACTCTCCTCGTCTTTATTGTCTAACAAGTTATCTAAACACCTCATCATTATGTTGGTTGTCAGCATCTGCTGCTTAAATAGTTCACCTAAAAGCCAAAAAAGCGTCACTACTTATCGCCATACTTGAGAAAAATAAGTTGAGAGTTTTTAATTGATCAGAAAAGTATTTTTCCTCACTAGAAATCGGTCCACTACTTTCATTTACAACATCATTTTAATTACGTATGCATACAATAAGTATATTTTTTGTTTCTCTTACCTATAAACCGAATATTTCCGACAGATTTCATTCGCAACCGACGGTCATATTCTTCTAGTTCAAACTGTAGCTTCTTCTTCTTTTCCTATAAATATTTCATTATACACGATTTTTTTCATTCTCGATTTAACTTACAAAGTCAGTACACTCGCCAATTTCTATAACTTTATCATTCCTAATTGAATCATCGTAAGACTGTTTCTCAAATTCTAATTGACACCTTGTCACCAACAACTTACGAAATTGAACAAATTCTTTTTTATCTTCAGTACTGTTGGCAGCAGGTACCTGTTAAATACAATTTTGTACATACAAAAGCAAAAAATTGACCAGAAATACAAACCTGCGTAAGAGCCAACTTCTTACACATTAACGCATACGCAACTGAAAATTTTGATTCGTTCATAGCTTTCTCGGCCACCATCTCGACTACTTTTTGTAACTTTTCTTCTGTATCAATTTGTAAGTCTCCTACTCGACTAAATAACAGTTCGAATTTCCGAGGAGTTAATTTATTGAGCACTCTTCTGATTTTTTTATATAATTCTTCAGCTCTTCTTTCATCGTCAGACATATTATCATCCTTCCTAAACCGTGCAGGTCTCCAGATGTTTTTCACTTCATGCAGTTTGACATCTTCCCTGACAGAAATCGACGCTTTGACAACTTGAGGTTTGCTCCCTTTACAGCCGCCATCACCGACTTTACTAGATTGAGGATTACGTTTTGGAGGTGGCTAGAATATAAACGTTAAAAGTAAAAATCAACAATGCCAAATGACGCTTACGCCTCTTTGCGAACTAGATTTACCCCCGTAATTTGGAAAAGGTGGGGTTGTAAAATCGGTTCTACCTCCCATGGAATACCTCCCATCACTAAGTCTCTGCAAAAAATACGAACACATGTTACATGCATTAAATTTAACAACGAGAAACTTACTCCTCGATCGTCGGCTACAATAACATCAGGCAAGTTGTCAGGCTTTTTTCGGCTAGCGGGACCGTTCCTTAAAGATAATAAAAATTCCTTGTCATATACTTTCTTCCCGTCTAAATTGTGAGGAGCCCATTGACCTGCAACAACGACATTACTAAATACCATGCAAATAAAATCGCAACGAAGAATCTGACAAAGTGTTCAAGATCAGCAACGAGGAATTCCAGCTTTATTTCAATCACGGTTAATAAGAAAGCTTGTGTCATCACATCTTTTCTTTTCTTTTAAGGAAATTTTACAACACTTACCTTCTCGATATGGTAAATCAGCTTTGATTTCTATGATGGCCGATGTATTGTTATCATTGCTTATAGACGCCGCTCTGTCGATTTTGTCTTGTGTTTCGATTTGTTGCGGAAAACATTTGATTGGTTCTGGCCTTTTTTTAACGATATCGGTAATATCAATTTTACTCTTAGGTAAAGTCTTTGCTTCAGTCCTCAACGTTGACGTATCAGTATTCTGATTCGACTTGTTAGCTTCGTTTGTAGGAACAGGATTGTTCTTTGTATTGTTTTTGAAAAAATTTGCGACGATTTCACTCATGGTGCTGATGTTTACACTGCCGGTAGCATCCATATTAGCAATGTTTGCCGCAAAAATCGAGTCTGTTTAATTGTTAGAACCTTTGTTCCAATTTCAAAACGTATTTCGCTTCCCCAATGAGGTTCCTTGGTTTGTGGCTATCGCCACCGACTTTATCACAGCGAGTATAGAATTTGGAGGTGCCTATAATATTAATATTAAACATCATTGGTACGTATTGAATTCATCACTACAACTACTAATGCTTTCTATTTGTTAAAAAATAGTTTTAATAAAAATATTGGTACAACAACAGATGAAGTATCAACTAGTTTAAAATTGTTAAATACACTTATTACAAACGCTAAGAGACCACAAGAAAAAAACAGATAGTTTGTAACATGTCTACTCACTGGTAAGAAAGTATAAAAGTGGTCCAGAAGATTCCGTGTTATGGAAATCCCCTAAACTTTGGGTAAAAATGGAAAGCGGTATCAATAAAAAAGACATCACAAAACAATATTATAAAAAATTATTCGAGTTGTGTATCCTTGCAATTTATATACATATTTATATACCTAATATTACAATGGACTCAAGTTACTTTATCATTTATAATCGATCATCTGGGAGAGCGTAGTACCTAAATAGATTCTGTTACTACTGTTATACTACAACGTCAAGAAATATACAATACAGTCCACAAGGCCAAAATATTGGATTAACTTCAAGACAAGAAGAACCCACTTTATAGTGGTTTCAAACCGAAGTTGTACGAGCAGTTGCGTTCGCACAGTTAGAAAATTTCGCAAAATATTTATTAACTGTTTTGTGTTACCCGGTATAAGTAATATTAAAAATTGGTCGAAAGTTGTTTCGACAGAACTTCCCTCGCTCCTGAAGTACAATGAAGCAAATCCAGCACTTTTTTTCTTTAGACAATTTTGTGACATCAACATTTTTGCAAGGACACATAATATCAACTTGGATTAGTGCACTGTTACACTAAAAATAACTATTGTATTCCTAAAATTTTCCGAGAAAATGGAGTCAATAACATAAATTTATGCATTCATTAATGTTTGTGTTTGTATCATGCTCTAAACTGTAAACCATCCGCAAAATTTCAAAGCTTTCGGTTTTGCAGATTCAAAATTAAACTGGAAAATGTTGTTTTATGATGTTGATTTTTTTTCCAAAAATCTGGACGTTTCGGGTAAAAACTCAATACGGAGTCGTTAACTACATGTGTAGGACTATGTTATTTCATGCAATTTAAAACCTATTTGCTATGTGCAATTTTAAAGTGACGTTATCACATTATTAGTGGGGATGATTAGGCAAATTTTGGTATGCTGCTTTCAATGTATCAATCGCACTATTTTGAATTATTTGACGTTTCAGTATGTTTATTCTCTGGGAATTTATTTAAACCTGTGTGGTCGATGCAGAAACATTTTCTGTCACACGTCGTAGACAAAGTAACAGAGTTTAAATATTTCACAACTCAGCAGTAAGTATTTAAATATACGAGTACCTCAACAATAAATAATTTCTATTTTTTAAACTTTTTACACAAATAACATAGTGACAAGACAGAGATGGAGATTTACCGTCAATAACTGCGAAACGTGTAAAGGAACAATCACTTTCTAAAACAAGCTCAAATCACTCGTTTTCTTTCTGAAATAGAGTAGGAATTCCCTGCATTTATCCGTACTAAAAACGCAAAAAAAAAAACAATAGCTCGCTGCACTCTTATCAGCGTTATCTTATCAGTTATGACCGGATAGAGAAAAATGGTTATCATTAATCATGCCACTCGACGTTTAGTTCTGTATATAGCTATCTTTTTAAAAGTTACTTTTTATCTAATAGGACGTTGTGTAGCAACAATATCTATCTCTGTTTAAAAAAATAAGTATCTTGTTTGACTTATTTGAAATGAAAGGTCGAACACTGCAGAATGATGATCATGCCAAATCGATAAAGATGGATATCGGATCAATAATAAACACAAAACATTCGTTGCAGAAATTTGATTAAGTGCACTTGAAATACCATATGAATCATAGGATGCCAGAGAAGCTCAAGCTTTTATAATTTTATACATATGTATTTTTAGTAGCTTCAAAGCGAAAATTTCCTTCATTTCAAAGTACTTATAGGTGCGGGATGGGGAAGAAAGTGAGCAGAGCAATTTAAATACATGTACTATGTATTAGTTGCACAAAATACACCTAGTTAAGTACGCAAACAGTAAAATTTTGACCTCAAAGTGTGTTTTTGATTTTGTAGTTAAAGTGGCAATTTATATTGAAATCGTCATAATGCTGTTGTATTTATCAGGCAATCGACAACGTGACCAATATACTTAAATATTATTTTGATTAGATTAAACAAGTCGAGGAGGAAACAAGCGGCTTAAAATGTACACTGATTTTAGATAGTTTTCAACAACCGAACTTAGGAACTTAAGTGGAGCATCATGTCTCAGAATTCGACGTACATACTAAACAAATGTAATGTTTTATTGTTACGAAATCTAAAAACTTGCAACAGTTCTTCTAGTTTTGATACGTGGATTTAAACTGTGCGCCAGTCAGAGACAGTTGGAGTCAGCAGCAGTTGGTCTACCTATTAGATTAGGGGTGAATGTATGATTTTTGTTGAAACGTCAAACTGTCACTTCTGTGATATTCTCTAGTATTTATTGTAATAGTATATTACGTAATAAGAGTTGTAAGAAGCATCTTACGCACGAATGGAAAAAGTTGCGCACGAGCCGCGAAGCGGCGAGTGCGTATTTCCATGAGTGCGTAAGGGCTTTACAACTCGAATTATGTACTATACTTTTTCTACGAGCACAGACAAAGAAAAACATATTTTCTATCATTTTATTCATAAACATTAACATTTTAGTTTTATTAGATATTGTAATTATTTGTAGTAATTGTTTATTGTCACTGAACAGTTGTTAAACACAAGGGAATGGTCGGTAGTATTAGTTTTGTGGCTACTTGTACTCTGACTACAGGATGCAGTCACATTATGTTCTGAAATAGTGACATGATTGTTTGATGTAGTAGGACTGTTGTTTATCGCAGATGCGATTTTTAGTGAATTGTCGGTTTTATTTTTCACTGAATTATCTACATAGCCCTCAGCTACCGAGGACGACCGCCATCCACCATGCCTTTTTAATGCTAGTAAATCACCACCAGCATCAACTAGGATGGTGGCAGACGATCGCCTGAAACAATGACCAGTGTATTGTTTTGGATCTGGTAAACCAAGATATTCTGCTATATTTTTTGGTACACTACCAATCTTATTTATGCCGACACACTGCTTGGTGCATTTTTGGTTTATGTAATTTAAAAAAAAAGGTAGTGATTTTGTATCATCTCCTGAAGGACGTAAGTTCATATACTTCTTACAAGTTGGATAAAAAGTTTTAGGTACAACAAAAGAACGTTGAGTTTTTGTTTTTGAATCAGGAATGGTGATAATTAATGATTCTCCAGTATCTTGCACATGTTCAGGTTTAATATTTCGCAATTCCTGTTTTCTGCATGCACCACTAACCGCAATGATAAGAACCACCTAAAACAAAATGTTATATTTATGAGGTTATAACATAGATGTGAGATACCTTCATAAATAGATATTGCGTATCTGGAGCATTTTGTAAAAAATCATTTATATTTTTGCTTGTTAAAGTTTTTGACTTTTTGCTCTTAAAGCCATCTGCTTTTCTTTTTAGTAGAGCTATTAATTTAGGATAAGTGGCAATGTTGATTTTGTCATGTTTTATGTTTATTGTAGCCCTTAACATTGAATATATCGCCCAAAGAGAAGATGGTTTCATTGTAGTTGACAACTCTTCAAAATATGCCAACATTACGTTTTCTGACAACGAATTTACTTTATTTTTTAATTTCCACTCTATAAATTTGTGGTAGACGGTTTCATACCTATCACGCGACTTTTTTGGCAATAGATTTTCGATGGCCGTTTTGGCCTTTTCAATTATTTCCGGCGGCGTGCACATTAATTCATCACTATCGCTAGACATTTTAGACTACAATTAAATAAAATCCGTAAAAAGAGAGAAATGTTGATATTTTTTGCAATAAATGTTACCTTGTTCGTTTTCTTGTTTTCAAATTCTTTGATTATGCCTCTTTTATTAACAGTAACGCTGACAGTGCTTCACAATTTTGTATTTGCCTGTCCGTCTTGTCATTTTCACTACCAACCTAAATTGAATAAATCGAAAAATCCCTAACTGTGCGATCTGCTTTCCTTACGCACGCTGTGCGTAAGGACAGGCATACATGATTAGCGAGTTGTGTGATCTTAACGATTTACAGTGGTGATCGTAGAAAAATATACTTGTCATTTGTGACATTCAGCTAAGACGTGCAAAAGACAGTGTATATGATGAAGGTTAGTAACCATGTGCTGTAAAACTTGAACTAACTGCGTTCAATTTAGAGAAACCTATCATGGACGCACATTGAAACGTTTCGGGGGGTGGGGGCACTCTTACATTTTTGTAATATATTCCGTACCTGTATACACAAGTGTTTCAGCTAAAATTTCGCGGCCTAATATCTTAGAACGGACAACGGTAGAAGTATTGAAATTCTGTAAACGCCATTGTTTTTAGTTTCATGATCCCTAGAGTGCGGAAAATAGTTCTCCTGTTTCCATCCGTCCATTGGTTTGTCTGCCGTCTGTCGTCTGTGTCAGTTTTTATTAGCCAGATAATCTACGAAACCACTGAGCCGATTGTTGTAAAATTTAATGTTTATTAGGTATACAGCGTAGATGATAAAATGCTACCCAAATTTGTCTAATCATTCCCACCAACAATGGGATGACGTGATCTCCAACATTTACAATAGTAAATGATATTTAAATTTTATAAAGGAAGATGCTCCTGCACTTGTAGTTTATGAAACCGTGTTGGGTTTTTACCCTAGAGATTCAGATGTTTTTAAAATACATAAAAATTGTACATTATTTGTATTTTGAAATTTAGACATGCAGTTTACTGGGAAAAACGGAGTGTCCTGAATTAATTAATTAACCATCTCCTCTGTGTTAACAAGACTGATAAATCAATTAAATTTCATTTTCTTTTAACACACATATCGTCTCTGATGCGCAATATAATCACAACCAGTCGAAGTTAAGCACGTATTGAGGAATTGAGAAAACATTTTTTCATATTGTCCGCACTTACGCGGACCCCGCCTCTTTGAAAATTGCGCTGCCGCGGCCCGGGAGCTACGGGTATGTTATTTAAGCCAATTTTTCTTCCCGAGCGTAAGCTAAGGAAGTGTATCAATCGACTCTATCGGTCGATTTGTCACTTTTATGTTTCCTTGACGTTTCATGACAACTAGAGTATGAAAAAAGTGGTCCCCATTTCCGTCTATCTGTGCATCTGTTTGTCTGTCCGTCTGTGTTGATTTTTATTAAATAGATAATCTCCGAAACTACCGGGCCGATTGTTATCACATTTTTTATGTATATTAGGATGGTAAAACGCTAAGTAAAATTTGGCTGATCATACTCGCCATCAAGAGGATCACGTCATCTCTAAAATTTACAATAGTAAATTTGTTTTTGAACTTTATAAAATAAGATACTTTTGCATTTGAAGCTGAGTTTTCTTTCACCTCAGACATTCAGCTTTTTGGCAAAAAAAAAACAAAATTGTGTAGCAACATTTTGCAATTTAACTTTGAAACTACAAAACCGAATGCTCTGAAATTTTGCAAATGGTTTAAGAACTCAAAAAATAAACGAATGAGTCAATTTATTGTGTTCATTAAATCAAGAACGACAACACGCAGCACACTTATTTACCTTTACTTTAACACTACATACACATCTTTATTTTAACTTATGAGGATTATCATAAAAAAATAAAATTCGCAAAATCAAATCTTATAATTTTTTTTTCGAAAAATCTGGATTTATTCTACCGAATTTCAGGGGCGAGGGAAGTTCTGTCCAAATAACTTTCTATTAATTTTTTTCTTTTGGCTATGACGGAATAGTGTGGGAACTATTGACCCTTTTCCTGTAAGCAAAGTGAGTAGACATTATATAAATTCCAATGATACAGAGTGAGACAACATCGCGCAGGCGAAGTCAGTTTTTTGGAGCGCCAAGTTAAAATTAACCAATGAGCGACAGATTACGCATGTGTAGCCGGTTGCATTCTGTCAAAGCGGTTTGTTGTCACAGGCCTTTGCTCTGCTGCCGGAGTGCCGGATACTATTTCCAACGTGGTTTTGAAGATGCGTGCGCACGGAAAGTCACTAGGGAAGTTTTACGATCTTACAGGAAAAGGGTCAATAAGATCTCAACAGTGATACGGAAATTAGAAACATTGGTTTCACGTCGGAACTTATAATTTATTTGTTATACCTATAACTATTTTCCTGTCAATGTGTCTCTGTCAAAATCCATCGTATTTTAATATTGCTTACAACAAACTCTATTTTTGTGTAAGGTTCAAGCCGTATTTCTAGAGTTGTAATTGTCGTTCAAGAATTGCAGACGCTGATATTTTATTGCTGAATTTGACAAATTTTATGTGTTCAGGACGTAATAAAAAACCTAAATAAATCAGTAAACCTTTCAAATGTCAATGTCAGCAAATCGAATATGTTGAAATCAAAAGAGAAAGCCACAATTGACATAATTTAATGTTTAGAATCGTCCTTCGCAGTTTTCGCCCTTTACGACAGGTAAAACGTTATTCCTGAATCTGAAATAAAACATAACTTTATTTGAAATTTAATTTTACAAATTTGAATTTTTACGCGTAAGGGAGGGTATATACACACGTAACTGCAACAAGCATGCATGTTCGAGCATTATGTACAAGCATGCTTGTCAAGCTTGCAGTTACGTGTGCAGTGTGCACTCTCCTTAAGGTCTAATAAAAAAAAAAGAAAAATATTTCCATAGACTACCCCAACGTAAAAACCTTTTGAAACCTTATTTTTAGTTCATATTTTGAATAAATAAATATATGTATAAATAAATATATAAATAAAAACGTGCACATAGTTGAATATAATTTTCAGTATGTAGGTGAGAGAAAAACGAAATAATTTTTCTCAGTCCGTTTTGACAAAGAGTTGAATTTTGTAAACACTTGCTTGAATGGAACAGTGTACAAATTTTGCAAGATACAAAATGACACGAATATTAAAAAAAAAAGAAATCGTTAGTCACATATTTGACGGTTAGCCAAAAATTTCAAATGTACCCCGTCTTAAAAATATCTCGACCAAATGTTTCTTCAATTTCTGTTTCTATTTTTCTTTTTTTCATTGTAGTGTATAACTCTGGTATGTAATGTGCCGCAAATATTTGCATATTTTTTTCACATTCCGTTATCTATACAAATGTTACGCCTAATTTTTCACCGTTTGTTGAAGTATGCGATAAAAATAACGTTAACAAGATCTTCAACCATGTGGCAATACGTATTTTTGAAATCAATGTTTAAAGTAAAATATAATTATAATTTTATTTTAACATAATTACCGCGTTTTAAACGCTGACGTTTGACTTTGGGTTAAGCCTTGTTCATCTTACGAAGAAAGTTATTAATTGTTTGGAATTCCACTTTGTTATGTACAGTCAGAATAATAGTTCTTTAAGCTACTAATTAAAGCGATAATGGTATCCGTCTGATTGTATAAATATGTACACGTGTATAAGTTTCATGTCTTTCCATTGCATCAATAGTCTTTAACAATTTGTGAGTACATTCCCAGTTGTAAAATTCAATTCGTTGCGAATAATTCTATTTACAACCGTGAGTATGATTTATTTTCCATGACAAACATACAACTAACTAATATTATTAAAGTGTTATAATCGACATTTGTAGAATAAGAAGTACTGTTGGTATAGATGATTACCAGTTTTTCATGTAAGTTAGATGTTTAACCTCCGTAGAGATTCATTTCATCTAACAGTCATGAAGTGTAAACACTAAATTCAGATCGACGTTGCAATAGTTTGTTCCTGGCTTTGAAGGTTAAGGTTGGTATGTATATTGCTTGTTGCATAGATTCATTCTAATTGCAGTATATGTATTTCAAAAATTTTGTTGGGTATTTAACCAGGCACTTTACTGTATGACGCATGATATAAGCACCTATTGGCTCACCTTCAATCGTAGCAGTTTCGCCAATCATCTCAAAGAAATAAAAGTTACTAGTAACTCTACTCATTATTAATTTTTTTTTAACGAGAAAAAGGAAAATTTTCAAAAAAATTAAATCAAAGTCACTAATAAATTATTATTGTTTTTCCGAATGAATTTTTTGATTTTTCGAAAAAATATCGTAATTTTTCGTAAAATTATAAGGGCCGGTTTAGAGAACAGCGATTTAAATATTTAATCCTCGATTAATTTAACAGAGAATTAAAATGTGGAATATGAGCCCGTGATTGGTTAAAATATGAGCGTTGTCTCGCAACGGACCTCAATTAAAAATTAACTTTAACTTCGCTTTCTATAAATCGGGTCTAATAAGAATTTCTATTTTAAACACTGAAGTGGTTGACGTCTCGCACTAAGTTTAAAAATGTTGTATTGTCTTGATAAGATTATCGTTTACATTTAAATTAAAACAAAATCCAATCACCGCGACAATCTAAGAAGTTAAAAGTAGCGTCGTCACGTCTTCATTCATTGTGTATATGTAGTGCTTACCGTTAGGTAAATGTGTGTATATTTATCGTATTTTTACATAATCTTATCGCGTCTAACACCGCATTGTTGCTAGAGTCTCATTATTTTAATATTTATTTTAAGGCAAATTATTCTTCTCGTCTTGTGGACGCTAGCGCTACAGTTCACAATACTTTCCAGATCCAATAATCGAAAATGGATTTTGATGATATATTAGAAGAGCTTGGAGAACTGGGGAAATACCAAACTGTGACGTACATTTTAATTTGCATTCCTGTACTTTTCGCTGCAGCGAACAGTTTAAGTTACGTTTTTACAGCAGGAACTCCCAACTATAGGTACTTATTATTGCATTTTCTCATTATGTATTAGCTACATTATTTGTATTTAACGTCAAGGACATTTCATTACTTAATGTATATAAAGTCACACCTTTCCATATGTTGTGAAATTTTAGATGTTTTATACCCGAATGCGAAGAACCGCAAAACACTTCATATGAAGTACCATGGATTCACTGGGCTATACCTAATGAAGATTCCAGCGAAGTCCTTGAATCAAAATCATATTATTGTGATAGATTTAGCGTAAACCAATCTCTGGCAAACGGTACTTGCTATAAAGATTTGTTTACCACACACATTGAAAAATGCAACGAATGGATATTTGATCACACGGAACGCACTATTGTTAACGATGTAAGTACATAGTTTAGTAAATGTTGTGAAATCGCTTAGTTTTAAATGAAGTTCTGTTGAACCAAGCTTATTTTTAACAAATATGACCTTTACAAATCAAACATACACGTTTTTTATAATAGAGGTTGTCTCATTACAAATTTTTAATAGGAATATTTTTCCAAAAAAGTAATTCAAAATCATTTAAACAAAGTTCACACGCCTCTGATGTACAAGTCAATTAAAGAAGTCAATTTTGTTACTCAAAGTAGAACATTTATTCTGTAAACTTTCTTTTTTACGATAATCTCTATTAATATAAAAATGGGGGGTGGATAAAGATAAAGGAACATATATACTATGTTTGTACTGTGTGTTTTAACTATGACTTTCTCAATAAAATTTTATTGTCAATTTTTTGTATATAAAATGTCTCACATAAAACTCTGCGGCTTTATATCTCGGAAACTAATATAGATAAATAAATTGCAAATAAGACATATGTATGGACGCAAACCCATATTTTTTTAAATTGTAACATTATATATGTGTATATTTGCAATATTTCAAAAACCTGTTAATAAATAAAAAAATGCGTTGGAAACACGTTTTGCAAAGAGTTATCGCTGCACAAATTTTGCAGCACCTTGGCTACTAATTATCGAATAATGCCTGTGCATCAGTTTAAAAAATATATTAAAGATAAACTGATAAAAGCTACGTCGTATTCATTCTAAAGATTCTCATGATATACATGTGTTTCTTACCGTCTACCTTCAAACATCTGTGAAATTCGTGGAAATGCTGATTGGTGTTGATTGTACCTCGTTGGTCCTAACACCAGAATTAATATAAAATCCAGCTACTGCCGGTTGATGGTTATTAAAAAAGGTAGTTTTGAATCAGGGGTACCTTCGGTTCACAATAAAATGTCCCAGTGTTATTTCCTTGCGTTTACCGTTCTAATAAATATTATGTATATATGATGTGATGTAATATTTTAAAAACAAAGTTTGAATCACAAAACGAACACAAGCGTCACGATTTTATGATAGTGTTATAACAATAGGAATATTGTTGTTTATGTGCAGCACGTTAGCGTTTCCAAGTATTTAATTATTTATAGTTCTTTTGAAACGTTATTATTAAAAATATTAATGCTATTCCTTTTTTGAGCTCCTTATTTCAAAAGTTTTTAGGCAAAATATCACTTATAATCTTTTATAAATTAACGTTTATAATTTTTAAATTCGTACAGCACTAAGAAATTCGCTGTAGCTCCATCTAAAAAATCAACTAATGGGATTTTTAAAAACTAGCAATGTTCTTTTATTTTGTCACAAATTTTACTGTTGCAAAAAAATGCTAATTGTTGTAACGATTAAATTGAAAAATTCAATATACCAAGCACACGATTTATTAATATTTATATAAAACATAAAACATTACAAAAAGCAAAATACAGGTACATAAAGATAAGAAAAAACGCAAAAGGCTCCTTCATGACAAATTCTTTTCATTTTTCGCTAATTGCACTGATTAGACTGATTGTTATTGCGTCATTATATTGTTATCGCGAATTATTGGTATCGCGAATTTTTCAATGACAACATTGTTTTGTTGAGTTTTATTGTTTTGAAACTGTAAGTTTGGATAAATGGGAGTCCTATTAAAACTGGTTATGAGCACGATAAACATAGGTAAGTAGATTTTACAATGTTTCATAAAACTGACTCAAGAATTCATTAATAATATTTGATAATAATAATAATCAGTGTCAATAACGTTTAAAGAAAACGAAATCGTGCAAAAATAAAAAAATATATATTTAGCGAAATGTTTGTTTTCGCCCAACAAATGGTCAAGTGTTTCCCTCACAAATTCAGTTTCGTAGATAAATTTTAAACTTTTATATTTTAAATTAAAAAAATAGTGCTCAGGGATTTTTGAAATATTTATAAGTCAACCATTTTCGGATTAATCTACACTATTAACGAATTCATTCATTGTAATAGAGAACCTCTGGTGAACTGTTACTTACATGTTTTCTCGACGCTCTATAAGTTCCAGAGTATAAACATTTTTTTACGTCTGTTGGTCGTCATACAATCTCTGAAACTACTAGACTGATTTTTGCCAAGTTTTATGCATTTTAGGAATATCGTGTTGAAGGTAAAACAACAAGCAAAATTTGTCTGATCATCCCACCAACAATTTGATGACGTCACCTCAAAATTTTGCGTAGTATTTTTTATAAAATAACATACTCCTGCAATTGGTTTATGAATCCACCTTGATTTTTTAAAATAGACATCCAATTGAAAAAAAAAACATTTTACAATTTAACATAGATACTGTCTGCAAATGCTCTGAAATGTTGCGAACATTTCAAGATTTTGATAAACATGATAATTCGCAACTCAAAATGTATCTGTTTATTCCCCCTAAAAACTTTATGACGTCATCTCAAAAGGTTGCTGAATTAATGCTACCTAAAATATGCAAAATGTCGAGTCACTATTAATGTTTATGATTTTGTTTGTCAGGTTGGCAATATATTTGGAATTTTATGATGACATAGATGTCAAAATGAAATTTTGGGCACCAATTCAATAGCTGCTAAAAATTGATAACTGCAAAAATTTGCTTCAACTCCTCATTTTTCCGAAAATTTAAAAATACAGTACTGTTATTATTAGTATATTACACTGCACCTATTTAAATGATATACGTGTCCTTGCTAAAATGTTGATGATGTCATCACCAAATTTTGTAGTCTAAAAACTCACTTGAAACATACCCATAGCATGCTTCTTTACCTCTACTTTAACAGCCCATACATATCTTTATTTAAACTCGTAGGGGTTATAAAAAATTAAATTCGCAAAATCAGATTTTATAATTTTCAAAGAAGCTGTATGTATTGGTAGTACTTACAGTCGAGTAGTGCGAGGGAAGTTCTCGATTTTACTCTGACATGGGCGTGTAAGATTCAAATATGTCATTTTTTGGAAGATATAAATACATACATCAATAAATTCTAGTTAGCGTTTTCCCATTTATGCGATAATTTTAAACCATAACGAAAATTTCAGAGGAACTGATTCCAATAGTTCCGAAATAGCAGATAAAAATAACACGGAAATAATAATAGTAATTATTATTCTTGCAACCAACGCATGTTAAATTTTTTGCGATAATCCAAACAATCTGCCAAAATTGGGACAAGCACACAAAACTTACTCGAAGGTATATAAATTGGTATAGATAAACAAATATTTTTTGATTGAAAATTTACCATGCTTACGATAACTTTAAAACGTGTGCAAGATTTCAAAGTATTCAGTTTCGCAGATTCAAAATTAAATTGCAATGTTATTAGAAAATTTTCATTTTTTTCCAAAAATTTGGATGTGTTGTTTACTACGTACAATTTTGAGATGACGTCAACACATTGTTGGTGGGGATGATGAAGTAGTTTCGTCTATCAAAACTAAACACAGACGACGGACAGACAGATAGACGGACGAACCGATAGACAGCCAGACGAAAACAGGAGACGTTTGTTTTCGTAGTCATGACACATAAAAAAAAATGAAAGTAGCCAGGGCTGCCATTCGTCAGCAAGGAGAGTGCGCTGCTACCAATGAGCCACGCTACCTGTTACACTGCCTGGTATTATATGTCTAAAGAACAAGACGACTCTAATATTTCTAAAGAACAAAACGGATGAAACAATAAACAGATATAATATAAATTACACTAATAATAAACAAAATCAAGGCAGATTCGTAATTTGAGAACAATCGTTCTAATAGTTTTTTGGAGATTATCTGTCTAATAAAAACTTGGCGATAAAACGTCGAAAAAACATGAAAGTAGCAACTATCCCGATGGACTCGATTACACTACTCGCTACGCTTACGGTCAGGAAGTAAAAATGGCGAAATGAGTTCTAATGCTAACTGGTGAAGCGCAGGTGACAAAGTTAATTAAAATGGAAAAATATACGGTAACATCTTCATTAATTTTATCAAAGTTGTTCCAAAAACAAAATGTGGTTCCTCTCTACTAAAGCGACCAAATAAGTCTCGAGGTATTTCGAGTCCACGCTAATATTAATTTAATCGATGATCTCGTGGTAGAACTTATAAAATGAAAATATAACTTAGAGAAAATCATCCAGCCCTTTAGACACATAATAATAGCCAAGCCTGAATAAACGAACTTTTATCACGCGTCTTAAATTAACGTTTACATTAGCGCTACAATAATTATTTCAACAGCACAATAAAGCTGGCCAAACGCACTCTAAAATTACCTCTACAAATGAAGGAGCTTACTTTCAATACAGTACACAAATGTGTTTCAACATTGGAGGAAAACTAACTCAGTAAATATTTATAAAATACAATATGGTAGTGATTGCGTGAAATCAAATAACATTTTTCAATTTTACGTTTGCAAGTACAAACGAGTCGTTAACGAATTCACCCGATTAGTAGCTGTTTAAGCTTAGTCAAAACAATGACTTAACAATACACGGGTTTGTCGCTTACACTTGTGGGTAAAATCAGGAAAAATCTCACTGTGGCAGGCCTTCTATACTGCACTAGATATAGGGGAGTTTACATCGTCTTAACAGCGACAGAATGCACGAGAACGAATATTAACAATTTTCTTGTGGCACAAGGTGTTTCGATAATATTTGAAGGTCATGGTGGAGGGATGTGGTACGCATAAGGGTTTTGTTAAAACAGTTTCGCCAAAATCACTTTGGGATTCTTGTAAACAATGACCCAAATTAGCCCTTCAGTAAATTTTAACAAAATGCAACAAACCTTTTTTAAATTACGCAATCTCTCGAGCACTACACACTTCACGTCTCTTCACTTCGCAAAAGGAATGTATCTGCGCATTTGCGCACTGTGGGGGAACTACTGGCTAGCATTTAGGAATCCCCGAAAATGCATGAAGGGTGGACTACACGATTCTTTTAAAGGCGGCTGCGCAATTTTTTTTCTTGGCGCTAAATTTAATTTTAAATTGGAACACATCTTATAGCTGCATGTTTTATTTCAGTGGAACTTAACATGTGCGGAAAACCAATGGAAGCTGTCGTTTGTTGGAACTAGCCACTTTGCTGGAATTATCGTTGGTTCGGCATTATTTGGAATTTTAGCAGACAGGTACATTTTTTATCATTTACGATACCATTGCATGAGATAAAATTTAACTATAACACAGATATGGACGCAAGAAAATCTTCATAGTATGTACGGTCTTAATGAGTCTGTCTGGGTGTGCCCAAGTTTTATCACCCGGATATGTGACTTTTGTTATTCTGATGTTTGTAAACGCAACGTGTACGGCAGGAGTTTACCCTCTAGCGTTTATTATTGGTAATTAATAATTTCTTAATGATGTATCTATCATTTAACATTTATGTTATTAGGCGTAGAAATGGTTGGGAAAAGAAAACGCGAAATAACAGGAATGGTCTTAAATTATTTTTACGCTGTGGGAGAAGCTGTGGTTGCTCCTATAGCATGGTACACAATGGATTGGACACTGTTACAACTAATAGTGTCAGCGCCTGCAGTCTTATTTTTTGTATATTACTGGTATTTTTGAAAAATTTAACATTCTCAAGAATTATAATGTACTTTACAGGTTTATTCCCGAATCCGTACGATGGCTTTTAGCAAACCAAAAACGCGAAAGGGCCAAAAAAATTATTTGTAAAGCAGCTAAATTTAACAAGGTGACCCTGTCCGAATCTCTGTTAGCGTCATTCCAGAAACAACCTTCAAAGGTTTAGACTAGTGAATAAATTTGACAATAGTTAACCATGCGTTGCAGGAAAGTGTGGAGTTGGAAGAAGACGAAGGAACAAAAATTTTAACCGTTCTCAAAACGCTGCTTCAATCACGGAAACTCATTCTTCGAATGTTAATTATTTTTTTTATTTGGTAAGATACATCCACGGTTAAGAAAAATTTTAAACCACTTACCCTAGGGGTGTGAATGCTTTTGTATTCTATGGACTATCAATAAATTCGACGAGTATTGGTGGTAATAAATACATCAATTTCGCCCTTGTTAGTTTGATTGAAATTCCCGGTTATACCATGGGCTGGATAAGCATTCGTACGTTAGGTAGAAGACTATCACTTGTGATTTCTCTTTTATTGTGTGGATTGACCTGTACTTTGACAATCTTCGTACCAACAGGTAAATATCAGTTAATTAAAATCAGTCTACAGTTATTTTTGCAGATATGACCTGGGCTATTATTGTTCTCTTCCTAATGGGTAAATTGGGCGTAACATCAGCGTTTGGAGTTGTGTACGTTCACACAGCTGAGATGTTACCCACTATTATTCGAAGTGCTGGAGTTGGCTCCGCCTCCACTATGGCTCGAGTTGGAGCTTTATTGGCACCATTTGTACCCTTGCTGGTATGTAGTAAATTACATTCACATTGTTAACTAATTAGGGGAAAAACCAATTTTAGGCAATGTATGCGGAACCATTGCCTATGCTGCTGTTTGGAGCAGTCGCAGTATTAGCAGGAATTTTGGCATTCAAATTACCTGAAACTTTAGGATGCAAGTTACCCGAAACGGTAGAAGAAGCAGAAAATTTATAACGATGAACATAAAATTAAGTGAAATTGTTTTTATAAAACGAAGTTTTTGTTATTTAACTTGACAATAAAAGTATGTATAAAAATTTGTCTGAAGTGAATACGTTTGACATATAGACTGGAGAGAAAAAAAATCCAGTAAGTTTATTACATCAAAAATTTAAAAACATCATCAAGTATGCGTCTGTTTGTGGTTTATGAATGCGTTCATATTTTTCTCCCTACGTCTACGACTTTTATATAAAAAAAATCAACGAACAACCACCGTGAAACTAGTAAAACAATTATTTTGCAATTTAACGCATGTTTTGACGGTATCTGCCTGACAGATCGCGAAGAAAAATGTGTCCGTTTACTACTTAAAATCTTTGGCAGACTGTGTTTGAAATGTGGTTTATTTCACCATCTATGTATACTTTGTTAAATACAAGCAAGGCTACACCTACCCCAAAAGTTCCACGTTTTAGTTAATTTCCTATACAAATAAAGTTGTTAATAAAAGATAAATAGTATAACAATAGACTGTAAAAACATTTAACTACTATTATGTTATTTGTAAAGCGTGACATTACAAATATGCTTAATTTGTATTTATCATTAAACAATTAAATGTTTATTTTTGTAACATGGATCATCAAATCTACACAAATTTTAGAATAGGGTAACTTCTCATCAACAAAAACAAGTTCCTCTATACATTATTACTTTCCGATCGTCAGCTAAGGAAGAAAAATGACCATCGGACGACTTGGTACTTTTATATTTTCACGACGTTACATGTTCCAAGAGTACGAAAATATAGGTCCCCCGATATTAAAATGGACTTAAAAGAAAATGGTTTGTGTTTATTATGTACTTACACAAACTCACACCCGCCTTCAAACAAGTTTGTCGCTACGTAGACTTGTCAAATCATCACAAACTCTCCAGTTTTTTTTAACCATTTCTGTAATAAGGTTCTTATTGCGTAGTACATGAAGCAGCAGTTTGACGTTCAAATTTTGTTAATTCCTGAAATCGTAAATGAAAGAAATAACAAAATTATGAAAATTAAATATTGTCAGTAATATATTACTATTACAAACGTTTATAAAATATAAAAAGCACATCCTAACATTTCACTTTTTATAAACACATTCCGATAAAGCAAATTCCAAATAGTGCTATTTTGAAATTTGCTTCTTACAAGTTTTGAAGGATCGGCGGGTAAATAAAAAATGTTTGTGTGTTGGTATTTTGCTCATTTATTATGTCAGTTGCCTAGGTTTAGCATCATTTATAAATGTTATTAACAGTTTGGCAGAGTCTGTCTTGATAATTTAACACACTTATGTATATTTTTCAATAAACCAACCATATTTTAAACATTTCCTCATTCGATCCCTGACCGCTAAGTTTAATAGTTGATAGCATCACTGAGGAAACCAGCTTTCGATTTCTGTTACAAAATAATGACTGGTTACACAACAGTAAAAAAGATGTTTCCACTTTCAAGACATGACTACCCACTTTAATAATAATGAAGAATATGATACAGGAGGATAGCAGGAAAGTAAATCATGCCTTGAAATTTCAGTATCTCTAAAATAAGAGTTTCGGTTGAATATAAACTGGGTAATCAACCATAGGAAGTTTATGTACAATCAGTCAGAAAAATACTGTATATGTTTTGTTGGAAAATATATACAATATTTCTAAGAAAATAACTCTGACTAGTAACAGTCGCTCAAAGCAGTTTCAGATTTGTTCAAACACAAAAAAATAAAATTATATATTTAAAAAATAAATCTAAAACTGGACTGTGCAGCTGCATATTTATTATACAGAACAATTATACCTATTTTATATATATATAACTTAACAGTAAGAAATCATGATATATATAACAAATTAATTTATAACAAAAGTAAACATCACGATCAATCGCTTACAATGACGTGTAATTCAATGTTGTTTCCGGGCCCAGCCGAAATGAATTAAGCAACTCCAATATTCGCATAATTAATAAAATAACGACGTCACTATAAACAATAAAATGTTACCAAATAAACAATATAAAATATATATAAATAATAAAGACAAATATACAGTATAAAACAGGATCCGAGGCCAGCTGAGCCCAAGTATTTTCCACTATAGTCCACGTTTGCTCGTCCAGTTTTTATCACTTTAATTTTTTATGTCTTTGCAATTAATTAGAGGGCACTTGATAACTTGTAACGTTTATTCCCGCACTTTAATTTGAAATTGTTAGTCTGTGCTTCACACGTTTCGCAACATATATTTATGAAGTATGTATAATATATATATGTATAATATAAACAATTGTAAAAATTTTTTTAACTAGGTTTTTACGAGTCACTGTAATTCACTTAAATGTTTCAATTTATTAGGTCTAGGACGCCAGCATCACATACGGGGCTGTTATCTGCTAGGTTTCATCAGAAGAGGACCCTGAATCATCTTCATTTTCTTTCAGTTGCGTGAAGAAACTCGTCAATTGTTTCAATGCAACACCTGCAATGCAAACTTGGGAGTACAACTCTGAAAGCAAACAATGAAAATTTACCTTTGCCTTCCTGCTCCGCAGGATCGTCGCTGGCCTCCCATGCAATGAAACTATCTTGGGAAATGATGGAGTCTTCATACAACTGATTGCAAATTGTCAAAAGAAGACCTAAAGAAACATAATTAGTACATCAAATGGACAATGTTGAAACATAATGTGAAGTACTTTGATAAACGCTAGATGAAAACACCAGCGAAAATAGGAAGTACCTCAGTTTAATTTCCACAGTACTGTCTTCACGACAATAATAGTGAAAATTATTGTGTGCTGCATGACTGTGACTTTTGGTAGTTTATTCGAATACTAACCTTTCGGATGTTCCATTTTGTGAATTAAAGCTTGTAACGCGTACAGACACTGCAACTCATAAACTGGATTATTATCAACGTATTTTTGAAGTAACTTGTAGTGGTCTTTCAAATTGTCTGCAACTAATTTTTGGCGGCCAATGGAGTTCTCGAAAATGGTCGTAACTAAGGTCCTAACAAACTTATTTTCATTAACTAACTCCCCTACGTTAGCCTATTAAAAAAAATGAATAAGCACACGTCATAAAATAAACCGACGATCTTACTGTTATCCAATTGACAATATCATCGAACGAAGTTTTCATGGAAAAGAATTCTAGTAGCTTGCTGGAGATTTGATCATACGTTAATTGGCTGTGACCTGCAGCTGTGTCACCACCACATAGAAAATCTAATTTCTGTAATAAAAACACGTGTTTGTTGACCTCTGTCATACATTGTTTTTGTTTTTTATCATGTCGCTCAAGTAGTGTATTTCGTTAATTATGTAAATAAATTAAGAAATATAGCGAACTTAAGCACTGATTTTCACAATACTAAACGCCACTATAATTAAATTACAATTATGTGGAGCTGGGATTGTGAATTTCTAAATGATGAATTTTATACTTACATTTTCTCTTAAGAATGAGTTAACCTGTTTTATATCCATAAAACTCTCGACGCGAAGTCCAGAAGTTTGCCAACAGCTAATGAGAAAATTGGGCCCCTTTTCACTTACAACTAACTTAAATAATGTCCCTAACAATTTCGGACCGTGACCCTGTTTGATAATTACAGGACATGATTGATGTAGCCTGTGCATAGACAGAGCTTCTTCACAGATCAAATGAACTACGAACAAAAATATAGGTAAATAAAAATTTGACATGTCACATGCATAAACATTTACCTACGATCTCAGCCAGATAAGTCCATATCATGGGAATATCAATGGTCAGTTCATCTACTTGATTCAGCACATCTTCTAAGCCATTACAATAGACTTCTAAGGGAAGTGTGCCTATTTTAATTAATTTGGCGAATAGCATTCCTGTTCTAAGTCGCGCGGTTTGTGATCTCTCCAACACATGCAGATATCTGCAAAAAAAATATATATATCGCTCATTTAAAGATATAAACAATTTTTAGCGATATGAAGACTACAATACAAACCACTTTAAAATATGCATTGCAAGTACATTTTATACTGTAGGAAGGGCACTATCAAACCCCACTCATTGAATCGTTTAAATTCTTGTGGTGCTAGCGAATCCTTCATAAACATCAATATAGCACAATAAACTAACAAATTTTCACTTTTTTAATGAGAATTTGCAATGAGTTGTGCAGAAGAATTAATATGATCGTTTAACACTCACCCATCAGTTACCATTCTCGGTAAGTAGGCAGGGGGCACAGTTGCTTGGGTATCTTGACTATATTCTTCGACTGTACAGCTGTCGTTCAAATATTCGTCCAAATTATTCTTAACGTGTCTTTCCAACTGTTCCTCCGACATCTTATATTCTGAAGGAACTGGAGTCTCCTCTTCCTCCTCCTCTGCTTTCTGTACAGGAATTATCGTGGGTGCAACCTTCTGCGTTGCAGGAAGCGAACTTTCTCTTTCTGTTGATCTATGTTGTGATCCAGATCTCGAACCTCTTCCATCATACGACTGCTGCTTATAATTACCACGTTCTAAGCTTGGTCCCTTAGAACTGTAGGGATCCTTATTCGTTCTCGAACCTTTAGAAACAAAACAGTTACAGCAAATCTTACTAAAACTACATAGTTATGTAGAAATCTGTTGCTGTGTAGTGTATAGCTGTACTTATTGATAAAACTACAGAATATAGCGAACACAGCGCTAATTTCCACAATACTAAACGCCACCAAAATTCATTAATGTAATAATGGGGAGCTGGGATTGTGGTACACTGAACGCACGCAAGAAAGCAATACTCACTTGAAGGCCGTTTTTCGGTATCGATATGTTCTAGAGCTGCGTACATGTTAGCAGTGTTTGTCGCTGAAGTCGGGTCGGTTTTAATGTTAGAACCTTTGCTCCAGTTACCAAACATCTGTCGGCTTCCCAACGGTTCGTCGGTTTGTGGCTGCAATTTAACAATTAAAATAAAACAAAACAATTATAAAATTATTAAACTTACAGGCTTATTTTTTAACTTATCACTTTGGACAGTAAACGGCATCCTATTCCTAGAAGCAGTAGTCTGCCAACCATCATCTGAAACGTTCCTTCTCTTCCTATCTGAATTAGCACCAGCACTGCTACCCCGATCATCTTTTCTAGGAGTCATTGGTATTGAATTCATCGCTTGAATATTCAAATGCTCATTTTCGGCTTCCTTCTGTATTTGATCTATGGTTTTAGGGTTCAAGTCTTGGCGGCGCGGCACCCACTTATTTTTCCTAAGATCTATCACATCTTGCAACATAAATCTGAAAATACGGGATTAAAGAGGACGAATTATACTATACTGTATACCTACCTAACCCTACTACTAATTCTTCCGAATTTTTTGTCGACAATATCTTTCATCGAGTTAAAAATAGGACTTAAATCAACCCCTTTCTTATTCGTTCCCCCTCTCTCTAGTTCTTTACCAATTGTTGTCAATAACTTACACAAACATTCTAAACTCTCCTCGTCTTTATTGTCTAACAAGTTATCTAAACACCTCATCATTATGTTGGTTGTCAGCATCTGCTGCTTAAATAGTTCACCTAAAAACAAAAAAGCGTCACTACCTATCGCCATACTTGAGAGAAATAAGTTGAGAGTTTTTAATTGATCAGAGAAGGATTTTTCCTCACTAGAAATCAGTCCACTACTTTCATTTACAACATCATTTTAATTACGTATGCATACAATAAGTACATTTTTTGTTTCTCTTACCTATAAACCGAATATTTCCGACAGATTTCATTCGCAACCGACGGTCATATTCTTCTAGTTCAAACTGTAGCTCCTTCTTCTTTTCCTATAAATATTTCATTATACACGATTTTTTTCATTCTCGATTCAACTTACAAAGTCGGAACACTCGCCAATTTCTTTAACTTTATCATTCCTAATTGTTTCATCGTAAGACTGTTTCTCAAATTCTAATTGACACCTTGTCACCAACAACTTACGAAATTGAACAAATTCTTTTTTATCTTCAGTACTGTTGGCAGCAGGTACCTGTTAAATAAAACTTTGTACAAACGCAAAAAATTGACCAGAAATACAAACCTGCATAAGAGCTAACTCCCTACACATCAACGCATACGCAACCGAAAAATTTGGTTCGTCCACAGCTTTCTCAAATACCAAGTCGATTACTCCTTGTAACCTTTCTTCTGTATCAATTTGTAACTCTCTTACTTGACTAACCAAAGTCTCGAATTTCTGAGGAGTCAATCTATTGAGTACTCCTCTGACTTTCTTATATAATTCTTCAGTTCTCCTTTCATCGTCAGACATGTTATCACCTTTTAGGAAACGAGCAGGTCTCCATGCATTTTCTACTTCGTGAAGTTTCACGTCTTCCCTGACCGAAATCGACACTTTGATAACTTGAGATTTGCTACCTTTACCGCCGCCACCACCGACTTTACCAGATTGACTATTACGTTTTGGAGGTGGCTAGAAAATAATCGTTAAAAATAAAAATCAACAATACCAAATGACACTTACGCCTCTTTGCGAACTAGATTTACCCCCGTAATTTGGAAAAGGTGGGGTTGTAAAATCGGTTCTACCTCCCATGGAATACCTTCCATCACTAAGTCTCTGCAAAAAATACGAACACATGTTACATGCGTTAAATTTAACAACGAGAAACTTACTCCTCGATCGTCGGCTACAATAACATCAGGCAAGTTGTCAGGCTTTTTTCGGCTAGCGGGACCGTTCCTTAAAGATAATAAAAATTCCTTGTCATATACTTTCTTCCCGTCTAAATTGTGAGGAGCCCATTGACCTGCAACAACGACATTACTAAATACCATGCAAATAAAATCGCAACGAAGAATCTGACAAAGTGTTCAAGATCAGCAACGAGGAATTCCAGCTTTATTTCAATCACGGTTAATAAGAAAGCTTGTGTCATCACATCTTTTCTTTTCTTTTAAGGAAATTTTACAACACTTACCTTCTCGATATGGTAAATCAGCTTTGATTTCTATGATGGCCGATGAATTATTTTCAGAGTTAGCTTTGGCGTTCGCTTCGTTTTTAGCTTGCACAAGCTTATCATTACTTATAGGCGCCGCTCTGTCGATTTCGTCCTGTGTTTCGGTTTGTTGCGGAAAAGATTTGATTGGTTTCGGCTTTTCTTTAACTATATCGGTAATATCAATTTTACTCTTAGGTAAAGTCTTTGCTTCAGTCCTCAACGTTGACGTATCAGTATTCTGATTCTTCTTATTAGCTTCATTTGTAGGAACTGTAGTATTATTTGTATTGTTTACGAGAGAATTTGCGTTGATTTCATTTGTGGTGCTGATGTTGGCATTGACGGCATCCAATCGGACGTTATCGTTAAAAGCGTCCATATCGGTGCCCTCTTTACTCGCACCTTTCTGATTAAGTTCACTCTTTTTACTTGATTTGCTACTGGGTTTTGAGGGTTGCGGTGCTGGAACGGGCGCCGCCGCTTGTTTTTGGTTTGTAGCAGCAGAAATCTGTTGCTTTTGGCCATCTTTCGTTCTTTGTGAAGCATTTTTAGATTTCGCTGGAAAAAAGAAAATGGAATTTAGTGAGTGATTTTTGATTTGCCAAGATGTGGAGTGCATAAAACGCGTGGAACTGTTGCAGTGCAGTGTATGTCACTAGCAAAATAACTAGTGCATATAGCGAGCATTGCTTATGATTTTCACAGTATAAAACGCCACTCTGATTACAACTCATCATGTGGAGCTGGAACTGTGATATTTTTGGATTGCTCAACGACAAATAATTTTCAACATTACGTTAAAACGGTTTCAATACAAGATTTACTGCAAACTATAAAAATACAGCATAAACATGATAACCTTGTGGATAAGTGACACAAGATAATGCACATTCTAAACAACCAGTATTGTTTCTGTGGTTTCTGATAAAAAAAAACACCTCAAGTTGGTGTGATAATCCTGTATCCTCATAACACAATGAACAAAAAAGATAAAGTTATTTTAAAATCACAAGAGTTAGAAGAGACAAGTTAAATATTAATTGATAGGAAAACATTTTTTTTTAACGTTTCATAAATATTCTACCAACCACGTTCATTCTAGACTATTTCATCCAACGGGTTGTTTTTATAAAAAAAGTTAATTCTGCTAAACTGAGTATATAATAAAATCGGCCATGAAGACGAAAAAAAAAATGCAGGTGAAAGTATAATACAAGCCAAACGTTATTTCCCTCGGGTTATATTTTTATAACACGCTTGAAATTTTATAATCAAAGTCCTGGAAAGTTATGAAGATATTTTCAACTTCACGGTACATGCAGGTAGTCAAACACTATAAAATAAAAACCATTAACAAAGTAGTAATCGGATTTTTGTAGAAAGTACACTTTTGAAATTAACTTGACAGCAGAAATATTGTAGCATTTTCAATAGTAGTAATGCAAAATTCTTACATTATTCTTGCCTTTTAACAGTGTAGATGTCTTATTAAATTCCAATGAGTATTTTTTTGTTAAATTGATAGCGGTTTTTTTTCTCAATAAAATTTATTAACTATAACATTAAAAGACAAACAAAACAAGAACAAAATGAAAATAGAATGCAAACTTTTACTAATACAAAATTGTTCAAATAAATTGTTTGTGCTTATGACATTATAGTTTAAAATATGGCTTCCACACAAGGATATTTAGGTTAACACCATAATCAGCTACAATAAATTAAAGGTGTAATTATAGGCATAGCACGGAGGTGCGTGTAAGAAATTATCAATTTTTCCACACATTGTTATTTACTTAGTAAAGTGTATGGACTGGTGTGTGTTATCATGAACAAATCGATGCATTTATTAAAACGTTAAGATTTAGAAATTCTAAAAATGAACACTTCACCTAAATGCTAGTTTTCTACGATAATAAGACATCTTTACAATTAACTCAATTATGTGGAATTTAATAAACTTAAATGATCACAAAATGGTGTCTAACAAACTTTTACGACGTGTTCATATAAATTTGATAAAAATTATGTCTTTTTTTGGCCGTACCATTTTTTATGGCGATTTTTGTACATACCTATTACTATTTGGTTTCATCTGGATCGTAAGTAGAAAGTGGATTCAATTTAATTGATGCGCATACAAAGCGAGATTTTCTAAAAAATGCACTAACGTAGTATTTATTACAATAATTGATTTTAGGGAGCGTTGAACGGAAGCGGAAAAAACTATATTGATCCCTATTATTTTAGGTTTGCATTTGACTTGAATGCGTTAAAAATGAACACGGGGAAACATGTTTTCCTTCACATTTATTAAAAAAGGCTTTCGCAATAAACGGTTCATTTTATGAACCAAGCTCAATTAAATCCGCAATTTTAATTTATAAAAATTTCAAAAATCATTAAGCATGAATTATAGGATTTAACATGGACTCCATTTGACCATTACTATTAATACACAACAGCGTCGACATTTTGTGCTACGTTTGTATTCGGGACGTTAACTCATTGCCAAGGTTCAATATACACAAAAAAATAAAAAACAAGGCAGTTCTAGTTGATCAGGTTTGGTGCTAGATAATGGGCCATTAGGAAAATATTGAGGATTTCCATAAAATAATTGTTGCTTAATGCCAACCTGGCAAATCTAATGATACAAATTACTGCATTTGGTGCAAAGTGTGGGTCTAACTAGGCAAATTCAACTAGCTGAAATTAATTTTAATGATGTTTTCACAAAGATAATTGAAATTTGTTCAGTAATTCATGAAGGTTTCTCAGAATTTTAAAAACGTCAACGTGCCGGTAACACCGATGCGATGAGAATACCCGATCTAGGGAAATTTGGTTCCATAAGGTTGTGCGAAAACACGTGGTTTTCCATTAGAAACTATGGCTCACTTTTTCCGTGAAAATTTTCCGTTAATAGCTATTTTCTTCATGGAGTTACAAAAAACGAACAATATTGTTTCAGATTCGTTCATTCTGGGTCAGAAAAAACCCGAAAATGCTGCCCGTTTCGCCCAGAAGGCCGCACCATTTCGTAACAACCAGCGCAAAAACTGGATGAACAACTTTCTAAAAAGAATTTGTACTAGAATTACCTAAGCTAAATCGTAACCCATATGGTAATCGTGGTAATATATAATGAATTTACCCTTATTATTTACAGTCTGCCATGTGTCCATTGTGCTGGGTCACTGTGCTATTCTTAGACTATGACCGGGGTGCATGAGTGGGAGTCGTGCTGCTTCTAGACAATTCCCATAAACGGAAAACACCACATTTGCAAAAAAACAACCACTTTCAACACTTACGAACTACGTTAAAAATTGAGCAAATATTCTGCAAGTTACTTTTAGAGTATCGTGAAAATTTAACAATTGCCAAGAGCCGCAAGGTCAAATTAAAATTAATATAAAGCGACGAAGTTACTGGTCAGAACGCAATTAAACTATTGAAACTAACACAACACTAATTTGAACAAAGCCTTTGAGTATTGTTGGAGTATGAACGTTACTAACAAACTAAAAATTTCTTTAAAATTCAACCACGTAGCGTGCGACCCATGCGGTCGACGCTCAATAAGAGGTCGTCTGCCATCTTGTTCGTTCTTCGGTCGTTTACGTTCGAAGCGAAGATTCTCGAACGCCCGACGATTGCAGTTTTTGGACACGCCAGACGGAATGCAACCGGTCGGAATTTGAGGATAAAATGGACAAGGATGACTGCCTATGTAAATCACATTCCAAAACCGTTATTAAATTTCTGCACACCCAAATTCCATATTTCAATAGCGAACTATACGTTAACATATCTATCTCTTTTCACTCGCACGACCTTATTTGTTAAACTTACGTTTTCTGCGACCCATTTTCTGGCACTAACAGTAAAACACACACCTATTATTCACATATTCAAATAAGTTTCAACAATACTCCGAAGTCCGAACTGCGTTATTTTTAAAGAAACAGTGGTTTACAGTAGTCTATAACTTCATAAACACCAGCCACCGGCACTACACGCACTGACAGTGAATCTGCAAGGCTTTAAATTCACTTTTTTACTGTCCGTTTTTGTTTATGTGCTGATAAAGAGTGTCGCTTAAATCGCTTGCCACCTTTAAATTTGAATTCATTGTTGTGTGCGATTTATTATTTTGCAAAAATAAATAATGCGGTTAAGTGGTGTAATTCAAGCTGTTGCGAGGATTAACACTGAACATGGAACTAACTTTATGCGGGAATTTTAACTTACTTTTGCACACATGTTTCTCTATTCTGTATTTCCACATGACTAGCAACAACAAAAATAAAAATACATTAGCAGCCCCACACGAAAGCATGAAAGTCAACGTGAGTAAATTTGGTTTTCAATTTGTAGCAGGTAATTAACAACCCATACGAACAAAAGATCGAAAATACCTAAACATTCAATATTATCAGACACAAATGTGTCTCACAATTTGCTCGCTTTTAAAAGTTCCAGAAAGATTTTATTACATACATTACATACATATGTCCGAAGAATCTCTAAAGAAAATTGTAAAATAACTCGTTTATTGTGCAATCAAAATTTCTGCATTGAAACCGGACCAAATTTGCTGAATCACGCTTTGTCATGAAGCTTCATGCTGTACCAAAATCACTACTTTGAAATCTTACTTTTATATTACGCATAAAATCTGAAACCAAAAACATTGCAACGGTCCCTTCAAAGTGATGGTTGAAATCCAAATACCCAAATTTATGACTCATCCACCTTTTGTGACACAGGTACATTTTTCCTAGTACAGACTTGTTGCCGAAAAGGATAAACGTAGGGATTAAAATGGCGAACAATGAAGAAGAAGCAATAGAAACGTCCAAGCAAGCATTAGGCTCTAGGGGTAAACCAATTTCTTTGAAGGACTGTACATACTTCACAGTCGGTCAAAATGGTCATTATTCTTTGACAAAAATTAATATCACAGAAAATAGGAAAGACTGCTTTCTCGGTTAACGCACTCATTTTTCCACAATTTAAATATATATTTTTTTAGGTGCTTGAAAATCATACTTAATTGTACGTTTTATTTTTGATCGAATTGTTCTACAAACACATGCAACTCGCCACGATATACATCACCTCAAAGAGATTTTTTTCAAATACTATTTAAACTTTGTCGATTTCAGAAAAAAATTAATGCGCATCTTCTAATCTATCGCACGCCATAAAGCGACTTCATCAAATATCTAATACTTCTGAGCTTTACTTTACGTTCTTACGTAGTTAGTGTGCGAATGGTACTTTGGTACACGTCAGTAGTGTTTTGGCAAAACACGAATGGAGCTAAAAATTACTTTGCGGCGATCCCAACGAGTCAACGATCACATACATTTTTTTGTACGACTGTACAATAATAAATTAATTTGATAGAATCGATTCAAGTACATTGACTTTCTAAAAATAATAGTTTATTAATGGACACACAAAACCTAAACCTTTCAAACAAATAATAGCATACAAGAGATAATGCTGCAGTAGTAATAATTAGATAATTTCAAATACGTACAAAG